AGGAAAGGGGCCGAGTCCTTAAGCTTAGGGCATCTTTCACAAAAACTAAAAGGGGAGGGGCTCCTGATGCTCTAGGTCACTAAACTCCTAAAGGTCGGTCTCTGGGCTGCACGCACCATGATCAAGTGACAGCGATGAGTAGAGGAAAAGCCTGCCGCGGCGCAGAGCGAAAGTGCAGAGAGAAGTAAGCCAGTACCTGTCTGCCTCTTCCGAATACTAGCTGCCGCCGCCATCTTGCCTCCCGCCATCCACTGCTGGGCTGGCGAGCAGAGCTCGAAGATGACGTGGCTGTCCCCTCCGCCCCGGAAGCTAAGCCTGAGGGGGCGGAGCCAAAGCCTTTGTCCTAGGCAACCGACCCACGCCCTAGAACTCTGTAAGGCTTCTCTACTAAGGAGCTTGAAGACCCAGTGGATAAATTCCTGAATTGCTAGTAGTTTCCAATCTAATCAAGCCGCAGTTAACTACTTTAGGCTGATCTCAGGGTAGGGGCGTGGTGTGGTGATGAGACCTTTTAACTACTAAACCATTAGCTTGGTTTTTACAGATTTAAGTGGTGACAGTAACTCTAAGGTTGTTATGGGTCACGCAACTAAAGTAAACACAACAAAGTTTTGCTTTCTCCTGTTGCCCAGTACAACAGTGGTTCGCCTCTTTCTTCTTTGCTGGAAACACGGAAAGCTGTAACCGGGCAAATTTCTCATCTCAGCTCACGTAAAATTGGCTAAATCGATGATGGTTTTGCCTGCAAGGGAGCCAGGAAGGGGAAAATTGGCAATTTTCCTAGTTCCTTTTAGTAGAGACAAGTTCACGAGGGATTAGTTAGAAGTGCTGGTGTTGAAATGTCCAAGTGAAGCCATTTGATCTCAAGATGTATACAAAATTAATTTCTATAATCGATATACTTTATTGGATGTCAAAATGGATACACATTTGCGTGTGTGCATATGCTGTCACAGCTATCTCGATGTCTTAAATCAACACAAGATATTTACATTTCATTGTCATTTTTACTTTGGGGAAGAGCAGGAAGTTGCACAGGACCAGATCCAGTGAATAAGGTAGATGAAGACACATCATAATGCTTTTATGAGCCTGCTTATCCATTGGATGGCCTTATTTTTTATTACACCTCATAAGAATGCTCACGAAAGGACTTCCAGAACTGCTTCAGAAAGTGGAAAGAACAATGGGGTAAGTGCGTTTTCAGTAGCAATGTCTTTTACTATAGTAAAAAATATTTAACATTCATCATTTTTATATATGTATGATATAAAATAAACTGTCCTGACCAAGAGTGTGGGCAGTACATTTATGGGAAAATGTACTAATAAAAGAATATTAGCAGTAGACAGTCACCAAAACTGAGACAGAGTAAGTTACCTGTTTTGTATTAGAATCAGAAAGAAAAAAAATAACCTTAGGCTTCACAGTTAGTTAATCTATGTTACTATATACAAATTTATCCAGGTTTTGAATTTAAATAATTTATTTTGGCAAAATAGTTTACATTAAGAAATAGTTTTCTCACACAATACACTGAAACAGCTCATTTCTAGAGCTTCCTGGGTATCTACCAACAACTACTTATAGGATCTCTCAAATATGGAGAGAAAAGGATCTTATCCAATTTTGTCTGAATTTTAACCTTGTTAAATCCCAGCAAGTTAGTTTAATTTATATAAGCATTTCATATTTGGTGGCAGAAGTAATTTATTTAGAAAACTTTATTATAAATGCCATGGTTTTTTAAAATTACATCTGGCCATCTTTTTTTTTTCTTTGGTTTTTTTTTGTTGCTGTTGTTGTTGTTTTTTGTTTTTTGAGACAGGGTCTCACTATGTAGTTGAGACTGACCTGGAACTCACTATGTAGTCCAGGCTGGTCTCAAACTCATAGTGATCCTGCCTCAGCCACCCGAGTGCTGGGATTATAGGTGTGAGCCACCACGCCTGGCACATCTGGCCATCTTTAAAAGGGGGGAAAATACGCCAAAATATGAACCATCACTGGGCATAATACCAGGCATATAATAGAAGGTATTGAAATGTACTTAGAAATTGGAAAAGATAAGGTTCAAAATCAGAACTAAAAAACCAGGAAACCTCAAGGCAATCAAAATTTTTCTAAACTACAGGTAATATATATTCAAATAGTTCATCATTAAATGTGTTTTTATATTTTGTATTACTTGAAGCACAAACACTTTGTATTATATTACTTGAATTATGAAATGGTGTAACAGCTTATTGTAAAATAACAATGAAGTATGTGATAGTCACTATATAAAGAATTACATATTATAAACAGAATCTTGTTTTAATCATTTTCTTATAATGACTGAATACCAAAGTCAAAGTTATTGAGAAAACTTACCCATATATCCACCTTTACTTAGCATTTAGTGCAGAAATTCCAACAGCTTGCATGCAATGAGGAGGGGAGCATATTAATACATAAAATAGAAATCAAAATGAATTCTGATTTAGTAATCAAACAAAGGATTTTTTACTTAACAGAAACAAAAACATTTCTTAACATAGAAAGTAAATATTACAAAGTATAAAATCATAAGGTACTTCTAATATTTTAAAGAATCTTTACCTTAAATACTCAAACAGGAAAATGAACAAGTACAAGAATGCATAGTTTTGTATGAAAGGCCTTAAGATAAAGTTCCCACCCTAAATGTTTAAAAACTGTTTTAAAACAATGAATGTAATACTAAACCATTAACAATAGGTATATTATAGTTTTCACCAAATTAAAAGGTAAACAAACTGAAAATATATGGCATTTAGACAGATGAAATATTTAAGAAATACAAAATATGAAGGTTTATAGCATGATTCCTTTTAAAAATTCAGTATCAGTAAGAATTATGCTATAACATGAATATAAAATTATAATGCTAACCATTTGACATAGTAACACTGAGGAAAATAAATAACCAACAAGTTTCTCTGATATGGACTATACAGAATACCCTAAAAATTCACACTAATGGAATATCCTTCAAACCAGAAAACATTTTTTAGTACGAATATTTGTGTTTCACTTTGAGGCAGTATCCTAAATTATTTATACCATCTTACCACTAAAGCCTGATCTACACATTTTTGTAATGAGGAACTGAAACAGTGTTTTTAATTGTAGCTAACCCCAAACACACTGCCTCTTGCCCCATCCCAAGAAAGTACATAAGTGTTGTATCACCTTTACTACTCTAGGAGAAACTAAAAATACAAACTAGAAAATTAATTAGTTTTGGGGGTGGTTTGCACTGATTTAATGTCTTTCAAAACTTTAGAAAAACTAGTTAGAGCTATCCAATTTATCAACACATTTGTAATAAAAGCTGTAAACTGAGTACAAAATTTAGAAATTCAAAGTAGTTTTTGATAATGGACCCTTTAGTTACTTTTGACAATCTAACAGTTTAACACAAGACTGAAGAAATGACTGGCTTATCAAATATAAGGTTTACTTGAAAAAAATACGAGGTAACAAAATTCCACTAGGATTATATTTTAGCTTTCTTTTTTTAATTAAGATATATCATGTATATCAAATTGATCTTATAATTATTTAGTTATGATTAGCAGAAAACAGTAGCTTTGCCTTGTTTCTGTTTGACAATAGACTTGGGGCTTTTTTTTTTCCAGTTTTTTTCTCTCCCTTTTTTAAGGTATAAATATGGGGACATGACTATGGACTGTATATATTCGAATTATTATTACATTATTTTTTATTACTACTAATAGCATTGATATAGTTAAAAATAAAGAAAACATAAGAGTTTATAGAAGAATACACAGACACAATACTTACTGTGTGGTAAGATTATAGTGGGTTTTTCATTGTTTGTATTTCTTTTTAAGTTTATTTATACATTGCTAATACAAAAACAAGTAATTTTTCCTTTTTCTCTTCTCTCTCTCTCTTTTTTTTTTCTTTGAGACAGGGTCCTGTAATGTAGTTTGTAGTTCAGGCTGGCCTTTTTTTTTGGTACTGGGGATCGAACTCAGGACCTTGTACTTGAGAGGCTGGTGGCACAACCACTGAGCCAAATCTTCGGCCTCAGGCTGGCCTTTAACTCACTATGTAGCCCAGGCTAGCCTCAAATTTAGGGTGCTCCTCTTGCCTCAGCCTCCCAAGGGCTGGGATTACAGGCTTCTGCCACAATGGCCAGCTAAAAAGCAGGCATATTTCAAGAGCAAAGAAGGTAACTATATAATGCTATGATACCAGCTTACCTGATAGAACCATCTTGGTAACAAATGTCAAATAGCAAATCAACTGCATGATAATCCACATTCAGATATATACACTATGACTAAAACATACCAAATAACACACATAGGATATAAGAAAAAAAAAACCCAAATTCAATGATTAAAATCATGGCTTTAGGGCCATTTAGCTCAGTGGCACCAGCCTGCCTTGAAAAGTCCTGAGTTCGATCCCCGGTAACAAAAAAAAAGAAGATACATTTTCTTAAGCATTTTCCACTACATTTTATTCACTTCAGAAAGTCTTTTCAAGCCCATGGAATATCCACTCGAGAATAACTGCAATTCTGCTATTTAATGCTTCCAATTAGCATAATATAACTGCAGTGTGGATCATTTATATATAAATCAGTGATCTAAAAATATTTTAGCCATGAATTTAGTGCCATCCTAGAAAAGCATACATATACTGCATACTCCAGAATATATACTTTTTATTTATGAGGTTTTAACCAATTAGCTTACCTATTTAATGCTTTAAAATAATTTGAAAATTGCATAAAATCAGAAAAATCACAGAATTCTATAAATTCTAATACATAAAAATAGTAGCTTTTTCATATTTACCATGCTACTATACCTGTTTAAATCTGTACAACCATTATAAAATTATTTATACTGAACTTTGTAAAGCATATATATTAAAAAAATAGAGGGGCTAGGGATAATAGCTCAGTGGTGCCTTGCCTGCCTGGCAAGCACAAGGTCCTGAGTTCAATCCCCAGTACAAAAAAAAAAAACAAAAACAAAACACCAATTTTTAATTGAAATGGCCAAAGTAGTCTTTTGTGTACATATCCTGAGTTCTACTGGGCCAAAGATGAAAAATTTGTTAAGTTCTGATTAACAGATTTCTGAAATAAAGGAAAGTTATCAATAGCAGCTTTTAAAGAAGCATTTCTTTGTTCAAGGAAATATTTTAATGTCCATTGTAGTGAGAACTTTTTTCCTTTTCTAGTCGTAGAGTGTTTCTTATGGCAAAGTCCATATTTTCTTGAAATTTTTTATATGTACTGGTCATTGGAAGAGCTAAACAGTTATTACACTTATTTCCAATAGGAAAATCCATATGCAGATACTCAATTGAAGGAGTGGGCTTAAAGCCAGCAGGTGGAATGGAATTGCAACCAGTTGCAAAAATAAGAATGTCTTCCATTGTTGTTGCAGATTTGCCATCTGAAAAGTTAAACAGTAAAAGTGAAAAACAAAACAACAAAAAACCAAAACAAAAAATAAGAATAAAGCCATATTACATAATGCTATCATCACTTCCTTTTCTCAAACTAAATTGGAATACTAAAGGGCACAGACTCCTACTTAAATCTGGGGCAAACTAAATCACTAAGTCAGGTATAGTAAAAGACAAACAGTACTATTCATGAAATGGATCTCATTGTAGAAGGACTCATAAAATCATTTTGCCCAACTATTCACTGTAAGTTTAACAAATGAAAGGAGAAAACTAAATGATGAAAAAACATGGAAGTTAAAAGTTTTTCCATTCTATTAAATGGAATTATTTTATACTGCTAATGCTAAATGACAAATCTCACTGTCAGTCCTAAAGAGTACATAAAGAATAATTCAGTTTAACTTTAAACTGAAAAAGATGAACTAAATGAGTTTTAAGATTGCTACTGCTCTTGCCAGGTGTACTGATACACACTAAAATTTAAGCTATTCAGGAGGCTGTGGCAGGAGGATTCCAAGTTCAAACCCCACCTCACAATTTAGCAAGACTATCCCCAAATAAAAAGAGCTAGATGTAGCTCTCCTTGAGTTTAGCCCCAAGTAATATAAAAGAAAAAAGAAATACTGTTTTGTGGTGTTGCAATCATCTACATATTTAAGGTTGTTGCTATCATCTATTTATTCAGGTTTTCTATGAAAAATGCCTTTCAGCTCGAATTATGTACACAAAAACAAACTGCACAATATAAATTTACTCTGTAACTTTCTTTCATCACTTCTAATACCGTCATGTAAACTTGTTTTGAAATAAATTTGGAGTCAGCAGATATACCTTATTACTATTAAGAAGCAAAACTTTGAAAGAAATAAATATGCTGAAACAAAAACTCTGAGATAATTAAATAACAGTAAAATATCCACATACCCTCAACACTCTGTAGGTAACTGTTCCAAAACCCCAACACTTGCATGTCAGGTAATGTGTGTACTATAAAAAGATATCTAAGGATTTTTGCAGAAAGATTCTCAGGTTTATGACAGAGGATATTACAAAATGCTTCTGGGTACATCTGAATTTTGTCCAAGACACCAAGTGTTTTCAGACCCTGCTTAAAACTTGAGAAGAAAAATAACAAGCCAACATTCATACATATGTTTGGTCTTATGATTAGGGAATTAACATTTGCATCTAACTTACCTGGTATTTGTCAAATAGCTGATTTTTAAAAACCCAAAAAACTACCATATATGTTCAGATATGAAAAAAAAAAAAAACAAAAAAATGGACATACCATATAGACTTGCAAATACATTAATATAAAATGAATATATGACTACCATTGGGTTTATAGTTTTCCAATTAAGTTAACAATGTCTTATTAAGAGAAACAGCAAACATTTTAAGTATTTTATACCTCAAAGCTATTACAGAAATAAAATTTTTTTGATAGCCAGGCAAGATGGTGCATACTTGTAATCCCAGCACTCTGGGAGGCTAAAGTAGAGTTCAAGCCTAGCCTGGGTAACACTGAGATTATGTCTCAAAAAAAAAAAAAAATCTGTAAGTTTAAAGATAGGGCTGGTGATGTAGCTGAGTACAAAGCTTTCATGCCACACACACACACACACACACACACACACACACACACACACTTAGATAGTACAAAGAAAAAAAAAACCTGAACCACATAAAAATTTGAAATGTATGCATTGCTAAAAATAACAAGCTTGAAAATATTTTAATATACATGACAGAAAATGAATTTTTTTCATACACCAAAACTATAAATTATTTACTCTGGGAGGCTGAGGCAAGCAAGTTACAGCTCTGGTTGGGCAACTTACAGACTTAAATGAGACCCTGTTTCAAAATAAAACTTTTTCAAAAGCAATGGGAATGTAGCTCAGTGCAAAGACATTGAGTTCAAAAGGAACTCATGACCAAAAAAAAAAAAGAATACAAATAAATATTTATGAGTACATAAATAATTATACAGAATAATGAGGTTCATTTTGGCTTATATGTATATGCGTATACCATACTTTTATAAATAAATGAGTATTTTTAAATGAACATTCTTACTAATAAGCAAAGAATAAAAGTAACATTTTAGTCTGTAAGAGTGACTTCCTGGATTCCCCACCATTTTCAGATAATTTGTTGTACTGATTTATCTCCTCTTTCTATTGATTTTTTCTTGAGGACCTAAACATGCTGTTATAGTTGGAATGTTTTTATCCCTCTCAAGATTCATGTTGAAGCTCAATCCCCAATGCAACAGTATTGGGAACTGTGGCCTTTTAAGTAATCAAATCATCTTACTACCAAATTTGAACCATTTATAACAATAGATGGTTCCATTATTTATATAATTGGCACAACTCAATTTAAAAGCCATACTGAACAGTTTCTTCTTACTAATTACCAAATCCTATAGATTTCCTTTTCTGAAATCTCTTATCTGTTAATTTCTCCATATACCACAACCCTATTATAAATAATTTATAATGGAACTGTGTACCCAATATTTAAATATCCAATTCCATTTTCAATGCTGTAGCCACAGGAAGTGCCAAAAATCATTTTAGGATGAATGGTGGCTCCCTAACTTCCCTAGATCTTGTGAATGTGACCTTTTATTTGACAGAGGGTCTTTTTAGATCGTTGGTGGTAAGGATTTTGAGATATATTCCTACTAGATTATTTAGAGCCAATTCTAAAGTCAGTGACAAGTCAGATACAGAGAAGTCACATATAGAGCAAAGGAAATATGATATAGCCAGAGACTGGACTCACAAAACCACAAGCCAATTAATGCTTGGAGCCATCAGAAGCTAGAAAAAGCAAAGAATGAATTCTCTCTCTACACAGAAAAAGTAAAGCCCTATGGACATGGTGATTTTGGGTGTGTGGCCTCCAAAATGGTGAGAACATATTTCATACATATGTATGTATGCACGCATGTATGTATGTTTTATGACACAGGGTCCTGCTATGCAGTTCAGGCTGGACTTGAACTTACTATGTAGCCTAGGCTAACCCAAAACTCTCAGTGATCCTCCTGCCTCCCAAGTGCTGAGATTACAGGTGTGTGCCACCATGCCCAGCTAAATTTCTGTTGTTTTAAATTAGTCAGTTTTCGATATTTTTACAGTAGCTACACTAAACTAATATGTACCCTAAACCATAAAAATGTTCTGACTCCTTAAAATGGCTTCCAAAGCCCTCCACAGCATAATGTTTGCATTTTTCTAGCTTTGCACTTGTTTCTACTTCTAAACTTTCATTTTCTGCTGATTTTTAAATGCTATTTCAGTCAAATTTAAGTTTGCCTTTAAAAAATTTACTTGTTTTTTATAATACTAGGTATTGAACTCAGGGCTTTTGCACTCAACTAAATTCTCAGTCCTTTTATTTATTTTTTTGACAGAGGGTCTCAAAAAGTTGCTAAATTAACCAAGGTGGTTCCAACCTAAGGACCCTCCTGTCTCAGCCTCCCAAGGTGCTGGGATTACAGCCATGTGCCACCATGCATAATTTTAAAAGTAACTTCTTTTCATGTTTGCTCAGAATTTGTAAAGAACAATCTTTTATTCACTTGATTAAATCCTACCTACTCATAACTTTCCTTTCTCTCCAAAAATTAGTATTAGAAGTTGTTATTTAACAACCATCCTGAAATCTCTACTACACTCTGCATTTAATTTTAGTTTCCCTGTATATATATATACCCCTAAATAATAGCTATTTTTTTGCTGCTTGTTTGGGAATTTTCTATAAATGATTTTATATTGTATATTTATTTTTCTGTAACTTGTTTTTTTCAGAGTAATTTTCACTTACTGTAACTGCTACTACATTAGGAAGCCTATTATTTATTATGAGCAATTGTACTTTTTTATTGTACTGCTTTTTAAAAATGTTTTATTCCTTGCCAATTTCTGTAGTTATATTGATTTCTAAATTCCAATTCAGCTGGGGATTTAGCTCAGTGGTTCCGCTGCCTGCCTTGCAAATTCAAGGACCTGAGTTCGATCCCCGGTGCCAAAAAAACAAAAAACAAAACAAAACAAAAGAATTTAAAAAATAAATTCCAATTCACCTCTTTAATACATAGAGTAATTCTTAAAGTTACTCCACCCTCACTATTTTAATAGGCATTTTGAAATCTATACTGAATCAATATATTTACTTTCTTTCTGAAGAACAGAGAGACTTAATAACATTTATAACTCCAATAGCTATCATTCTTATGCTACTTCAAAGTTATTTCTCCCTGTTTTTTAATTCCCTGTGTTAGGCATTTTTTGCAGTGTTCGGTCTTGTTTGAAAATTTCTTTTTTAAGATTCCTTGTCACTTCCAAATCTCTCTGCCAGAATCCTTGTCTTATATCTAGTAACCCTGCTGAGCTCTTTATACATGAATTTTATATTGTTTTATGCAGACACAACCTCCAAATGCTAGTTTTACTTCTAACTGTTAATAACATTTACTTGCTCTTTGTCTTGTTGCTCTGCTATGACCTCTCACATAAATATGACTAAAGGAATGGGCCAGTTCTGTGTTCCCTTCACTTATGATAGCCTTCAGTAGAATGCCTTATATTTCACCATTATGTATAATGTCTACTTAATGAGTAGATTTCTTTACCAATTAGGATATTTAAATTTTGCATTTTATGGGATTAAAATCGTGCATTCCATTCTTTGAAAGTTAGCTTAAATTTATACATAAATGCTTAAAGGTAGCAAATGCTTTTTTGGGGGGGTCTCTGGTTGTAGGTTAATCATATGGTTTTTCTTCTGTAATCTATTAATGGGATACATTACATAAGATTCAATATTGCACTTAACTTGCTTCCTCCTATAGATATTCTTCAGAATTGATTCTCTTATTCACTGCTGTTTTGGGTCCTCAGTTCATTATTGTATGCTTACACTATTAACTCCTCAGATTTTGTTTCAAGTATCTTAATTTTGCCATATATTTAGCAATTTCTTGTTACCCCGTTAACTTTTGCTTTATATATTTTGAGGTTGTGTACTTAGGTGCAGATTCAAGATGTTTTAATATTCTTAAATAATTTATTCTTTTGAAAACGATTAGTGTCTTTTAAGATTAGCTCCTTCAGTGCCATTTACATTAATCTATTTAGAGTTTTGGACCATATACATATATATTAACCTTAAATTATGTTTTTCTACTTCACATGTGCTTTTCTTGGCTTGTATTTATCTCTTTTTCTTCCCACTATGAGATTTTTAAAGAGGTTTTCTTGACTTCTCCACTTTATTCCTTCTCAACTGGTTTGGAAGTTACACATTCTTTTCTTGCTATTTTGGAGTTTTTCCTTAAAAGATTTATACTTCCCACTAGTACTTAAATATAAATTCCTTAAAACAGTAAGTCTACAAACTTTCCCTTCTATATTACAGTCTTCTTTCTCTCATCAACCATCAAATACAATTTAGATAAGAAATTTATACTCTTTTCATTGTTTTTCCTGATTTAATATTCAATTTTGAATTATTTGGTTTCTATTTCAGAAACTTCCTACAATCATTTTTTTTTTTTTTTTTTTTTTAGGATTTTTGCAGGTGGCAAATTCTTAGTTTTCTTTCACATAAAAATGTCTAAATTTTCCCCATCTGTCTGTTGTATCATTCTTTGGGTCCCAACATCCCTAGCTAATGTCTTTTATCTCTCCATCTTTAAAAATCTTCTTATGCCAGGGATTTAGCTCAGTAGTTCCACTGTCTGCCCTGTAAGCACAAGGACCCAAGTTTGATCCCGGGCACCAAAAACAAACAAACAAAAACTTCTTAAATTCATTTTATGCATAAAATCGTTTTTAAAAACTACTTAGCAGGAAGAGTAGAAATAAGGGTATCTATACCATCTTATCTAAAACCAGAGGTACATGATAATTGTTTTAATCTAGAGATATTATTTGATTCTACTTGACTTTTTTTTTTTGTAAATGATCAAACTGGGGACCTTGTGATTGTGAGGCAGGTGGCAGCACCACTGAGCTAAACCCCTGGCCTCTGAGATACTATTTTATTTGATTCATTTCATATTTTGTATTTTTTCCTTTGCAAAAACTTTTCAATAATTGTAAAAATACTCTCGTTTCATTCAGTTTGTTATTTCAATCTTTAGTGCGCTTTATCTTCCAATTCTTACTTTCTTCTAACGTTGTAAGTTTTGTCCTTTTTGTAAATGGGAACTTCCCTTTTGTGAGGACCGCTTTATCTTCAGCATTCCCATTAGGCTTCAGCTGCAGACATTTCCCTAGCCATTGCTATGTTTTTGCTTATGTGTGGCACTCAATAGGTATCAATGACTTCCAAGACCAATTAATTTAATATTTCTGCCTCAGATTTGGTTCCATAGAGAAACCCCAAAACAAGTTTGGGGCAAGTGGAAGCTTTTGCTTATTTCATGTGACAGCTACAGTACTTTAGCATTTGGTTTTCTTGTTATTTCTGACATCCATACCTCTCTTTTCTTATAAGCTTAATATAAATCTTGCTAATTAAAAAAATCTTTTACATAAAAGGAGGGACTAATCTTCAACTTCTTTCTTCTTTCCTCTTCATCTTGATCTTCCTTAACTCCTATTTAACCTTCAGGTTTTAAATTAAACACTTTTATGTGGGGAAGACTTTCTTGATCTCTAGATTACTTGTCTAAAAAAACAAAAAAAATCCACAAATGAATGACAATCCATTCTTTTAGCAATGAGAAAAATCCTTTTGTTGAGAAAGTATAGTACTTGGAGAAAAAAAAAATTTGTACATCTGCCTCATTAAGAGATGCTTTTTTTTTTTTTGGTTTTGTAAGACAGGGTCTCACTATGAATTATAGCCTGGCTTTGAACTTACTATGTAGCCCTGGCTGGCCTCAAACCAAATGCAACCATTCTGCCTCTGCCTTCCAAGTGCTAGGAGATACAGGAGTGCACCACCATGCCCAGCAAGAGATGCATTTTGAATAAATTTTATAACCTATATCTGAATTTAATATTTCATATATGAATCCTAATTACAAATTATTATATTCATAGAAAATGGTACTACTCAGAGAAAATCTGGATACACTTAAGAGTTATATAACTGTGTGATTTAAAAGTTATAATATTATAAATATATTAGAAATCATATCCTTTGCATTATATAAGAATATGTTATTTATATACTTTAGAAGATTGTTAGGAAGCATACCAAATGTCCTTTAACAGGAAACTGATTTAAAAAAACAGCAGTATATCCAAAGCAAAAGAAACAAACAAAAAGAGCATGTAATGAGGAATATGTCTGTTTACTTCTAAGGTGATCTGTAGAATATATTGTCAAATGAAGAAAAGAGTAGAAAAAAGGGTGGTTATCTAACAAAAGGAGTAAGTAAACAGACAGACACACACACATGTGCACACACACACACACACACACACACACACAAATCTGTCATTAAAAAGAAAAATAATGAGATGAGAAATCATTTTTAAAAAAGCCAAAATGAGGGCCGGGGATTTAGCTCAGCAGTTCGGTGGCCTGCCTTGTAAGCACAAGGACCCGAGTTCAATCCCCGGTACCAAAACAAAAACAAAACAAAACAAACAAACAAACAAAAAGCCAAAATGATTACCTCATAAGGGGACAGCAGGTGGATGTGCCAAGCACGAAAAATGTACTACTTTGAATATACTGTATCACAGAGCTAGCCAACTTCAGTATGCTTTTACTACATATTTGACTTTGGAACCATGCAAATCCTTTATAAACCCAGTAAGGATAATAATTACAATGGTTTTAAACACATTAACTATATTTAAGTCTGTGGGTTAATCTTAGTATTAGTGCCGGGGATCAAACCCAGGACACCTTGTACTTGTAGGCAAATGCCTTACTGCTAAGCTATATCCTAGTCCAGATACTGAAATTGTTGAAAAGAATCAATCACTTCTGAGATGATACTATATGTGGTATTAAGAGTGGACACAGGCTGATAAGAGATCTGGGTGGTGATCATACAGGTGCTACTTTCAGAGATATATGGCATTTTCCATTACTTTTAAAAAATGGATAAGTTTAGGGCCAGGGATTTGGCTCAGTGGTACCTGTGCCTGCCTCAAAGCACAAGGTCCTGAGTTCGATCCCCAGTACCCCCCCAAAAAAAGGAATGGATGAGTTTGAAGAGATATGTAAGTTGTCTGACTTCTTTTAAGTGTTATTGGAATTAAAAGTTTGAAGACCAATGTTCTAAAGAAAGGCAAGAATCAGATCTACATTATTAATCAGAGAATAGTTATGACCTCTATTACCCAGAAGATGACAGGTGCTCAATAAATACTTATTAAATGAATAAGTAGAGATGGAATAGTTAGTCCATATGTTTAAGAGTTTTTAAAATAATTTTTTATTAGAAACATAATTATAAATTGAAGTAATGATTACTTTTTACCTAAACATCATACATTTAATACAATTTTGTATAGAATGGTCAGAGCAGTGATCATCCTTGAGAGGTTAATCATCCTTGAGAGGTTAATTTTAAAACACTATTTATAAATAGCATTTAAATTCTCCTGAAACACATTTATATTAATTATTAAATATACCTCGTTACAAGATCATTAACTACTTTAAACATATCATTTAAGAGAGTTCTAACATATAAACAAACAGCTTACCTTTCAAAGGGTGCTTGGACTCTCTTAATTACCTGGTAGACAAGTATGTCTTCTACCAACATGTATTTATCAGTTAATGTTGTTATAAGTCTTGGACATCCAATAAGTTCTAGGTAGTTACAGTATTCACTTATTACTGAATTTAAGTCATCCATATTTGTTGCAGTATTTATCTATAACAAATGAGAAAATGTACCCACTTTACCCATTTATTTGTGAATGATATTTACATTTCAAATGACACAGTACTTTATACTCAATTTTTGAGTACCTCAGGGTGGATTTAAAGTATATTGGGAATTATTTTTCTAGAATAAATGCCTGACAATCTAGTTCAACAAATACTGTATACTTCTGCCTTTAAGATACTTAGAATATAATAACGTCACTTTAGTAGAGATTACTTATATAAAACATATAGAAAAGTTACATGAGGTGAGACAGATGATCTGAAATTTCATGAAAGAGGAAGATTAGCTAAGTCTTAAAAGACAGAAAGAATTTTATAGAGTATTTTAAGAAACTGTATAAACAAGTTATGTGCCGGACACTTTCATATAGATTAGCTCTTAAAGACACAGAAAGACAAATGTAAAAATAGGAGCGAACCAATAATCCATTATAGAAAAGTGAATCAAAACAATGTGTCAAATTTACTTATTCTCCACTTTCAATAATAATAAAGATAATATTCTGAGTGACTGGACAACAAGCAGAATGAACCCAGTTTCCTAGATGATTTTAAAAATCACAACTCTACTTTTAAACTACAGGCCAGTTCTGTAAAGGTATAGTAGGCATTTTATGCTTTGTAAATCACTTTGTCTGCTGCAGTTATTCAACAAAGCCACTATAGGGGGAAAAAGATATGTAACAAATTGGCATGATTGTGTTCCAGTAAAACCACTTACAGAAAAGGCAGCTGGCCAGTGCCTAGAGACCCTAATGTAGGCAACAGATTTTAGAGGGCATCATAAGCACCTGCCTTTTTTCAGCCACTGTATTGGTCTCTTTGTTAAAGATGCATATCCTAAACTGTACCTTATATATGCCCTACTACACAGGTCCTTTTTAAAAACAATTGTTTATATTTAAAATATTTGCTACATCAGTTTATTATATTTGTTTCTCCTCTGTATTTCATCTAAAATGTAAATCTTGATAAAATAGGAAAGGGTATACACTATTTGTTGGACTAAATGTATGAACAAACACTGAATAGGAAATACTGGAGTACATAAGCCATGAAAAAGAGTTGAAGGTCTTAAATGCCTTTATGGAGAGTTTGAATGCTGTTCAACAGGCAATGAGAAGTCACTGAGGATTCTTGAGAAAGAAAGCAGTATGGTCAAAACATAACTTTTGGAAGAATCACTCTTAATATTAGAATATCCTGTTTGTCTAAGCCAAGACATAATTTGAATTTGGTTTAGTAGGCACACTAAAAGTATAAGAAGAAAAGGCTGAAGACTGCCACTTCTACAACTTGACATGTAACTGTTAAATGAACTATGCAGGAATAAAAATTACTCCTTTAGGATAGCTTGAAACAAGAAGTCCCTTAGAAAGAAAACACAAAAACTTGAAGGGGGGATGCTTTTGTTCAATTAGAGAGGGGCTCAAAACACAGGTTCATGAATCGTTCAGAAAGGTTATTAAGACAGAAGAGGCTTTCCAAAGAATATAGAATGTGGGTTAAAAAAATACTGAAAAATGCTTAAATTTCAGGGGTAAGAGCAAAAAGCATTAGAGATACCAGTAATAAAAAACAGAAGTACAATATAAAAGAAAGTAGTAGAGAGGAGCTCTAAGAAAGTGGTGATTACATCTGTCAGAGAAAAATGAAGAATCAGAAAAGACTCTAGATATGAAGATTTAGATCCCTGGTTAGAAACTATGAAAAAGCCAAGTTAGGAGGAGTGGTAATGGGAACAGAAGATTGATTACAAGATGTTAAGAAATGAATAGAAAATGGAAAATGGAGAAAAAGAAGTTAAAAATAAATTTTTAGCAAAGAGAATTAAAGGAAAAATCAAGAGTTAATGGGCCAGTTTAAAGTATGATTTTAGGATGAGCAATATTAAGCCAAGTAAATAGAACTGTTATTAAATTACAATATATAGCAACTACACTTCTATAGTACTACTTTGTGGTTTAGAAACTAAGGCTTAACAAGTTTAATATGTTTAAAACCACACAGCTTTAGCATTTATACAAATGGCACCCAAACTGAAATCTCATTTGTAAGCCTATGCTTTTAATCTTTAAACTATACTGCTGTTAATTAATGGGTAGCATACATAAGTATGAGAGAAGTTAAGAAGGAATCAGTAACATGTAGGCAATGAAACTTAATCTATAGGGGATTAGAATAAAGGAGTCTGTATGTGTGATACATGCAGTACAAAACCCACTGTAAGTGTTCAATTAATGGCAACTATTGTTATGTGGGAGCATTATGACTCCGCACTTGTTTCCATAAGAAATTAAATTTGGTCTTTTCATCTGTCATTCATACTTCCCCATAGGAGGAAGGGTAAATATTCTGACTGGTGAAGCAAATCTTTTCTTTCCTCAGATCTACCTGCCTGTAGGAAAGTACTTTCAACTGTTCTCTAACATCCAATAAGGAACCTGCCTCATATTGTCTCTGGCAGGATAGGTTAAACTATCTAGTTCACTTTGAACAAAATCTAACATTATCCAAGTGGATTTATCAACATTAAAGCTGGCACTTCAATCTCCAGACTTTTACCTTTATAACTCTATTGGTAATCATAAATACCATATGTTGTCAACTAGTAAGTACATCATGGGGACTATTATTCTGTTGCAAATCATTTACATTAATATACCTCTACAATGTAGTCTTAATAAGTGTGGTTTTAATAAATAGGTACATTTCTTACCCTGATTATAATTTGTGCCACGTCAAAGTCTGACACATCATCTAAAATTGGTTGGGTATTTTCTGGTCCATAAACAAGGCAGTTAAACAGGGTTTTAGAAAAGAAACCAGGTGAAGGGCCACCATGAACCAAAGAAATGGCAAGCATTTTGCCAGCTTCATAGTAAAGATTCTCTTTTAGAGCTGCAAATACAGATGAAAACACATCAAATACACTTCTTTATTACTGTAAGATAACTATCATTTTAAGTGAATGCATATTAAAAATAATCTAAAAATCGAAACATTAGAAAAATTAAAATAGCAATCACATACACTAAATTATATAAAAATATTTTCTGAACATAACCAATTGTAGAAAAAAATTAAACACCTATACCCACCTATAATAATCACTGTAAATCCTTTACACAAAATAGCTTAGTTTCTGCTTTTCCACTTATATTGTAAAAATTTTTTAATACTATTTAAAGTTACTTATTTAAAGTTAAGGAATACATTAAGACAAACATTGAGATGTACTACAAAGTAAAATCTCCCTATTACTAGTTATCCAGGTTGAGTGACATTTTCAACTATCTGTGTTACAGTCAATATCTATTTACATATTTTTATATATTTGATTTGCATTCCCTAAATTGTATTAGTGGGTCAAAGGATATGAGCATTTTTAGTTCTTGATGTATATCATTAAATTATCCTTTCAAAAGGCACAGATTTACTCCCAAAAGTATATGCTATCTTACCATACCGTCATAACTTTAGAAGTGTCAACCAAATGTTTTCATAACTTTGATAGTCAAAAAGATAAAATGTAAAATTTCCTTTTTCTAGTAACTGTTCAAAGCAAATTAATCAGTAACATTTATGGTACTTGAACTTGTAATAAAATCTCTTTAACAATGATCTTATTAGATATATTTTACAGATAAAAAATAGCAGAGACCCTGACAGGATAATTAATGTAAGTATGTAAAACTAGTGAAGTAAATGTGTATAAACTTGAATTCAGACTTTGTGACTTAAATCCATTCTTCACTGTACCAAAATTGTCCTGAGTTAACTTTACTCCTTAAAGGAATTTAACATTACTGATGATTTAAAGGAATTTAATAAGCTCTTTGTAGTACACATAGTAATAATACTTCAGGCAAGGCAAGCTCTAGGAAACATAAAGAAAATTCCTATGTAATAAATCCTCTCTAACATAAGTGCGTATCTAAAAATTTTTTAAACAAATATTTAAAAATCTATTACACTTGAACCAAAAACTATTTTAATACAAATCCTATGTTGTAAAGAAATATGCCAAAGCCAAATTTCAAGTATATGACTACAAGAAGGGTACCAATAATTATCTGTCCCATTTGGTCTTAGTATTCAAGTGAAATCTGAACGTATATAAAGTTTAAATGAAGTTACTTTTTTTTTTTTTTTTTTTTTTTTTTTGGTATTGGGGATTGAACTTGGGACCTTCTACTTGCGAGGCAGGAGGCAGCACCACTGAGCTAAATCCCCGGCCCCATGAAGGTGCTTTTAATTATGAAGGATATTGCTATAAAGTATAGATATTCTTAAACAATATTTTACTCCAAAGACTTTCTGCTCCCCTCTCCTTTATTTTTATAAGTGCTGTAGAGTGAACCCACGACCTCTTGCATGCTAGGGTAAGGTTAGACCATGAAGCTATAACCCTGGCCCCAACAAAACTTACCGTTAAAAACAACTCTTTTCATCCCTCTTTCTTAGGATTCTATCAGTAGTTTATTAAAGTAAATTATATATTTAGACCATAGTGAATATTAATTTTAACCTTATTTCTATATATGTTATATTCATCTGCAGTAAATAAAATGATTACCTTGAGAATTTAGAGATAAGTTCTTTGATAAGGAACCTTCAAATAACGGACAGTTCTCAAGATGTTGCATTAAAAGACTCAGAAATTCTTGCTTTGATCCCGGATGCTCTCCTCCAAAATCATCATTCTCAATAAATACTACTTCAATCACGTATGAAGGATTGAAGTTGTACTTTCTGAATTCAGCTAAGGCACTGGTCCAGATATCAGCTTTCTTGATATATAATCTTTTAGATTTTTTCTTAATTTGAAAGCCTAACTCTATCAATATTGTTGAAATATCTCTTCTAAACTTGCTGCCTTGCCTACAAAACATGAATTTTAACATACTTTACTTTATGTGAAGCAAAAGTTATACAGACAACAAAAAAGAAGAGAAAATAAAGTTTAAAAGGAAATGCTTCCCCAGCTCTTACCCAAAAGCTGAAAATATCTGCTATTTGAACTGAAAATAGTTATTTGTTAACTTTAGGTTTTAAATTCTTGATTCCTTACCCCAATCTTCTAATTAAAATAATTTATATTAGGTCATTTACATTAAGGTTGATAAGTGATTATCTAAAATTTGATCATTTCAGGTAATAAAGGTTTAAGAGTCAAAAGCTCAAATTCTTTCTTCATGACCAATGGCTAAAGAACTGGCTTAACTGTATATTTGCTGTATCTATTAGAAGATGTAATCCTTGCATACAGTATATGAAAAAACTATGACTTGGAGAGATTATACAATGTACTTTTAATTACAAAATTATAATTATTAGTGGAGTTAATATTATAAACAATTCACAATCTCTTAAAGGATACCTTTTGGTCTAGACCAGTGATTCTCAAAATGTGGCCAAGAGCCGCAGCAGCAACTACAAATCTACACAGCCAGAAGCTTCATATTAACAATCTGAGTGGATTTCAGGGTCTATCTTAAATCACACCCTACATTAGCTTCCTTAGTTATAATTGGGATATACTCAATGACCATGAATCACATTTTTATATAGCAAGTATAATTTTTTCACATTTTACGACAAAGTGACCATTGTGGTCCAGGGCTTTGCTTTTCTTCTTTATACAAAATGCCCTATTTGCTAGCCTCTTTTGAAGAAAAAAAAAAGTCAAAGTTAACCTTTTTTATAGCAGGTTGATTTCCTTCTCCCACCTGGATCAGTAGGAACAACAATGCTATTCTCCTACAGTATGTCTACATGTTAAAGTAAGAGCAAGTGTCAAGCTTCCTTGGAACAACATTTTTGGAAATTTAAATATTAAAATTATTTAAATATACTAGGATTTTATACAAAAAGTATTATAACAAGTAATTACAGATACACAAGAGTTTTCAGTTGCATTAACAAAAGTGACATTTTTCCACCTAGAAAACATGGCTTTCTTTAATGGCATGTTAATTGAGTATTGTAAAATGAACCCCCAGCAGACTTTTGAAACACATAAAGGCATTTTACTTCTGAAGCTAAAAAGTAACATGCCATTAATGTCATAAAGTGTTTGCTTTAGATGGTACTTTAGCATTAAGTGCATTTTTCAACTAATTTTTAAGTGAAAAAACTTTTTTTTAACTTATAGCAGGTTTCATTTTGAATTATTAGAGCTTTTTTGTATCTTCTGTATAATGTCATATTGGAAGTATTGATATTATAAAATTATTAGTGTCTTTGAAACTGAATTAATGAGCAGTGAAATCCTAAAGATGTAGATGATTATGTTCCATATTAGAAGTTATACTGAATCACGTGGAGTTTTTAACTTAAAACCCCAACTCATATCATCAAGTACTGCAGAACTAATTTATATTATTGAACAATGACATTGTTAAAGGCCACAATGTTCATATAAAATGTTTTTTTGCATTTTAAATACTTTGTGTTATTATGTGCACTTAGTTTCCAAAGAAAGATCTCTTTTGATTTGTCAAGCTTACCAGTAAAGCCTTCTATCAGACCTTTGTGACTGTGGCTGATATTATAGATGATTTCTTTGTTGCATTTATACTTTTGAGGGGACTTAACCATGGGAGAGACATGGCTTGGTAATGATACCATGTAACATCCTGACCTTAGAAAAAATTTACTTCTATCTCTCTCCCAAGGGTCCTTTTTATTTATATCTATTCTAACTTTTGTTTTAGTACATGCATTATGTAATATTTACATTCCTTGTGTGGAGTTGGTACACGCACATAACACATCTTAATACCTTTTTTCACCCCCCTTTCCTCTGCTCTCCACCCCCTCCCCGCCATCTCTTAATCCTCTTCCCATTAGAAAGACAGCTATCATCCCAACTTCTTTCTTTTATTCTGCTGTCTACAATTTGGGTTTCTCATATAAGAGAAACCATGTGATATTTAAGCTTGTGTGTCTGATTTATTTCACTTAAAATTATGGCCTCAAGGAGCATTCATTTTCTTACAAATGACTAAAGTTTATCTTTTATTTATGGCAGAGTGGCACTCCCATGTATGTACATACCACATTTGTTTATCCATTCATCTGTTGTTAGACATACAGGCTACTTCCAAGGATTACTATTTTGAGTTGTGCTGCTATAAACATAGGTATGTATGCATGACTCTTATGTCACCTTGAATTCTTTCAGGAAGATAGCTAGAAGGGTAATAGCTGAGTCATACGAATTTCTACTTTTAGATTTTTGAGGAGTCTCCATATTAATTCCCATAGTGGGTATACTAGTTTACATACCCAACATGTAGGAGGGTTTCTTTTTACCCTGTAGCCTCTTCAGCATTTGCTATCTGATTCCTTGATGACGGCCAAAACTTCTGGGGTAACATGCAATCTCAGTGTCATTTTAATTTGCATTTAATGGCCAACAATGCTGAGCATTTCTTCATGTATTTATTAGCAGTGCACTTGTGTGATTTGTCTATTCATTCCACTTGCCCATTTGTTAAAATGGTTTTTGGGGGGGATATTTTTAAAAAAATTTTATATATTAGAGAAACAAATACTCTGAGGAATAGCTGGCAAAATTTTTTCCCATCTTGTAGTTTCTGCCTCTTCAATTTGTTTTTTCTTTTGCTGTGCAGAAGCTTTTAAATTTGGTAAGATCCCATTTGTTAATTTGCAGTACTACTTCCTGTGTAATCAGGGTTCTGTTCAGAAAGTCCTTGTCTATACCTATTCTAAAGTTGTTAACATTTTTTCCAGTTTCTTGCAATAAGAGCATTTTTGTGCAGCTATACTCTAGGCTTCTTAAAGCATTTCTAAATGATGAATCAAAGTTTCATGTGGAAGGACAGAAAAAACATACAAAAACAGTGTGCCTGTGATAGCGTACATTGTTTTGTTCATCCAGTCATTTTTGCAACAGATATTTATTGAGCCACTTGGTTTTGGTTTTTAACCCACATTAATTCATTTAATTTGAACTACCTTGAGATGTGGTCACTTTTATAATCCTCATCCTAAAGGTGTGATAAACTGTTGTTAAAAAACTTGCCAAAGACCAGACACATAATTAGACAGTCATAAGAGTAGCCTATAAACCAAGTATCTCCCAGGTTCTATGTCTTTAGTCTTTAGCAGAAATGCTAGGGAAAATATAAGGGTGCTTTATAAAGTAAACCCAATATTTAAATTAAGTCAGTGTGTTTGACACAAAAGCCAATCTTTTATCTGTATAGTTGTATCATTTTATTTTTTATTCCTTTTCCTTTGGTCCATTGCCTTTACTGCCCCTCACTCTTGCCCAAGCTTTTATGTTTCTGGTTTCTAATAGAGTTTTTTCTTACCTCCCACTCTACCTGAAATTTTTCGCTGTATTACTTTAACCATCTAAGCTTTTAATTAAAAAATTAAAAAAAAAATGCATACCTAAACATCCCTGTCCCCAAATTAGCCTAAAGCCCTTAATCTACCTTTATGTCTTTTAGTTAATTAGTATCTCTGGAAAAAGATATTTCAAGTACTAACGTGGAATTAAGTAATATGAATTTTAAACAAGCTTGTTTACTTCTTTCCATTTGGCACTTCTGAACAAGGTGATTTTTTTGTTTCAGATCTTTTATACTTCAGGAAAATGAAAATTCATCCACACAGCTTCTTACAAATAACACAAGTAGTAGTGAGCTATTATCCCAGCCTTCACTGATACCTTTTCTTCTCTCTCTTCTTTTGTGGTCTCAGTCCTCATTTGTACCAATGCTTACAGACTAACCTGTATTTTACCCTCAACTATCCCACCTCACAGTTATGTTATCACTATTGTGACAAATTATTAGAATTCTGCTATAATTAGCTTCTCGTAAATGTAGGACAAAACTACATGCTGCACCAGGTGGCTCTGAGGGGTGAGGTAGGGTATGTAAACTTTGTGTTAATGGTGATGACTACCACCCTCATAGGCATGTCATAAACAGGGATGGCTCCAGGAATAAATATGTCTTTATTCAGAAATCACTGAAGTGACTCAAATGTTTTGAAAAATAACAAGTCTCTGAATTATCCAGTCAGTTACCTAAATAGGAATTGTAAGACAAACTTCTGAGTGAGGCAGGTGCCATGCTGGCTCTGGGACTTTCTTTGCTGCCTACAGAGTTAACCATAACCAGCGGCTCCAGCTCAGCTCACATCAATGCCCCCACTCTCCGTGGTTTCTGCTTTTTATGTCAGAAAAGCCTGCACAGTTAATTAAGGGTGATGTACCTATACATAAAGTGCAATAACATTTTGGCCTCATTAGCCCACCCTTGAGGCATCCTGAGTGAACTCTCATGAGAGACAGGGTCTAAGAAACTATAAGACAACTCCATGTAACAGCCAATAATGTGTTTTTAACTTCAGTCTCAGATTATCCCTATTTAGAAGACACCCTTCTTTACATGTTTCCAGTGTAACATATAAATGAAACAAGGAATGGGGTCAGATATCTCAAAGTATGAATGATCAAAAAGGCTGTATTACAAATATTCTTGAACCTTTAGTCTTAAATGCCTTATATGTCCTTCACATATATAAATCCTGTAAATAACCTGTTTATTTTTTTGTAGAAAGCCATAACAGAAAGTGATTAGTACATAACCATGTAAGAACATTCACATCCATACAATCGACAAATTCTTCAGATTCTTACGTTAGAAATAGCTTGAGTGTTAATTTTAGAAGAGCCTTGACAGGATTGTTTTGAGAACAGTCCCCTTTGATAACAAACTCAAGACACAGCTTGCCGGCAGAGTTCTTTTAGAAGTATTTTTATCAAACTGTTTTGAAAGGTTTGTGGTTGTAGTCACTTCTCTTCATGGTACTTTGGGAAGACATGACAAATGTGACCTTGTTGTATGTGTATCGCATTCTGGGTGTTTTGTTATTGCTAGATATTAAAAAGCAAAATAAGAAAGCACCAGTTATGCAAAACGAGTGAGGCTCCTGCCCATCCAATAAACAGAGCAGTTCCTAATTCATACTTGTTCTACACAGAGAGGATCAAAGAATTCTGTTGTGATTTTGTTTGCCTACAGGGAACAGCCATTGAGCACAGCCCTAACAACATGAGTACACTTCCAGCCAAATAAGCAATTTTAGCTTGGGCTTTATCTGAACCTCCAACTTTGGTACACTTCATTCCAAAGAGTGCAAACAGGGAACCAAAAAGGCCCAAGCTGACAGACACAATTGTTAAGTCCTCTACATGCCAGGATATAACTGTCCAGCACCAGCATGGAAGGGAAGTCCTTGCACTCGGAGACACCCATGAAGTCAGTAACACAAGTCTTCCACAGGTTGACCCAATAGGTGGTGGTGGTGATGACTGAGCTGTCGATGGCGGACACCTTCCAATAGTAGGTGGGCAGCATGAAGGACACCAGTACACAGCCAGAGATGGAGACCATGAAGGTGATGCTCTCTCTGAGGCTGTGAAAGCCACGCTTCATGCTGGCGCTTGCACTCCCACTCGCAGCTGGGCCCCCAAAAGTGGCATTTTAAAACTGTAATTTCTTACAGTTTGACAAGCAATAGTCTACCTACCTGAAAAATGAAGTATCCAAATACTTTCAGAAAAATTCTCTTTTACATCTTCTAAGTTTTTAAACGTGAAATTTAACATGACAGTACTTCATAATTGCTTAGCTACTAATATTATTTTCCAACTTTTTTCCTACTGGGTAAAGCAAGGCTCTACAAACATATTTGCAAAGTTACATAAACTTAATCATAACTACAATTGAACAGATACCTGATACAGTATAAAAATGTAATCCAGTCATATTTAAATATTTAAGAGTGATTTTGAAAGACTTACTTTGCTATTCTGTGGAAATAGTTAAGAATATGGTAATATTTAACAGGTATGCTTTAAACTTTTAAAAGGGAAATGTTGACATTTAGATTTCTCACATTGACAATGAATGTATTAAGCAAAAAATGATTACAATATCAAAAAATAAACCATCTTTATATTAAGATTCCTTTAGTTTAACAAAGTGACGTGGTATGCTTGCTATTTCAATTTCCTATCTTACTCTATAATCAAATAACATTTTAAGGACATTTTCCAGCACAGCATTTTTCAAATGAGTTTGAAATGATATATACAAATATATGTTATGACTCAGTTCACAATAAAATAATTAAAACAGATTTTACATACATTCTTCCTATGTGCGGTACAATCTGATAACTTGCATTCTAGTCTATTCCATTTCTTTTAAAAAATGCTGGTTGCCTTGAGTCCATGATCTAATACTGAATGAATTCTTTAACACTTCTAGACTACTTATGATCAGCTAATATCCTAAGTGTATATGGCATTTTCTGTCATAGTTTTCTTCAAATATAATTTTATATCTCAAATTTAAAAGACACACCTCAGCAGATCTTTACTCTGGGCTCCAGGTGACTGTCTGGGTAACTTAGGTGATGATTCTTCCAACAAACAATCAGTAATTGCCACATTATTAGAGTTGGATAATGTATGTTTTTTGGCTTTTCGGAAATCTACAGATTTAAATCTCAATGTTAGCATTACAGAAATATGGGTAAAAATCTTTATCAAAATAAAAAACCCTATTCAAAATTATAAACAATTACCTGAATTGTAGATAATACTTCTACATTCCAAACACTCCCAATTTTGTTCCCATGATCGTAGTGAGGAACAGGCTAAATGTGTTCCACTGGAACCACAGCACTGACAGCGTTTTATTTCCCATTTGCTGAGGACATAAAGAGCAGATGCTTATGTTTGATACTAAATTTAATTCCAACCACCTCTGCCACCATGGGCCTATTCCTCTGCTACACACACAAAAATCAACCCTTTTACCATAGGGAAAAGATTATCTGCTTCAATACTGCAATATTTTTCTACATTGTTTCTATTTTATTTATTATGTGTGTAACCATCTCCTGTAAATATCTTGTAACTTAAAACCCTAAGCCAGTATGAACATACACACATATACAAAGAATATGAACATCAGATAGGCTCTATGATTAAGTTTCCTTTATACTTGGAGATGACTATGCTCATAGGGAGAATACTGTATCACTATGTTTGATGTGGAATAAGTACTCAATAAATATCAAAAGTAAAGCAATACTTCCTGAAATAAGCTTGCTCAAACACTTCAGTTGTGTGGGACAAGTTCCAGACTTCCTACCTGGCTCATACTCATATTTTCCTTCATTTGCCTTTTTCATTACTGTGTGACATGTGGCAGTCTCTATTCATATTTTCTGTATAGATGTGGATATGGGTTGTGTTAATGAGTCTCCACTCTTTGTGTGGGCATATCATTCTCTTTGTATAGAAATGGAAATAGCTCTTTTTTGGGAGGGGTACTGGGGATCGAACTCAGGCCCTTGTGCTTGCATGGCAATTGGTGAAACCACTGAGCTAAATCCCCAGCTCCTACAAATAGCTCTTGAGTGAATGGAAATGTGGATGATGAGAGGTAGCTAAGTACTCCCCCAGCTCTGTAGAGTCCATTTCTTACTCTTTATTATTTATTTTTTCTCATTGAGTTTATTGGTACATTTTAGGCATATAGTACAGTTACATTCATCATTGGGATCTTGTACCTTTTTTTTTTTTTTTTTTTTTTTGGTACCGGGGATTGAACTTGGGTCCTTGCGCTTGCAAGGCAGGCCACCGAACCGCTGAGCTAAATCCCTGGCCCCCAGGATCTTGTACCTTTACATGACAGGTCTTGGTTCTCATTTTTACCCCTTGTCCCTTCCCCCACTTCAGTTCTTACTCTTTAAATGGAAAGTTTAGCCCTTATAATTTTAATTGTTATTCCCATTATCAAGAAGAGAAAAACCAAAGTAGAGGGGGATAAATTACTTGCCCAACTAAGCTCACACTGATTAAGCCTTAGAGTGATGTTTCCAACTCAATATACCTGGCTTGAAACTCATGTTTTTAATCACTACACAGTGCTGCCTTTTACCAATACTGCCTTTTCTGAGATGGAGGGAATAAGATTACAAAGCAAGTGTTCAGGTAGCAAGTATCTGTGCCCCAGAAGAAACAACAAAACTAACAGCAATCTCAAAAAGCAACAGGGCCGGGGATTTGGCTCAGTGGTTGAGCCACCTGCTTTGCAAGTGAAAGGGCCCAAGTTTGATCTCCGGTACCAAAAAATAAAAAATAAAAAAAATTAAAAAAAAAAAATTTAAAAAAGGCAACTGCCCAAAGGAAAGAGAAGTTTTGTAGCTAATGGTTTGGTGATCAACAATACACAGGCTATATACATTAAGAACAACCTAAAATTAATGTAGGAAATATCAACTTTAGTGAATGTATTGCGTCTTAGAACTATATGTACATTATCTCATATACTCTGTTACTTTTTATCCTCCATCTTAAATGAAGACTCTCTTGATTCTTAGTGTAATATACTACACCTAAAAGGTACAAGGTGACTGACTGTACAGAACAGCTGAATACTGACATTACAAAAGGGTAATCAAGTTTCCAACACCAAACCTTTTTTTAATGCTCCAAGAGAAACAATGCTATGTTAATCCAGCTACATTATCTCCTACAGCAGTGCTGTCCAACAGAAAATACAACACTAACCATATATGTAATTAAAAATGTTCTAATACTTCCATTTTAAAATGTACAAACAAGTGAAATTACTCTAAATATATCTTATTTCCAAAATATACCACTTTGTTCAATATGTAATTAATATAAAAATAAACAAGATATTTTAAGTTCTTTTCATATAATTATGGGTTGATTTGTGCCCATCTCCCAAATTCACATTTTGAGGTAAATCTTAACACCTAGTATATCTCAGAATATAAATGTACCTGGAGAAAAGAAGGTTAAAGTGGTAATTATAATAAAATGGCACCTTATGGGTAGGTTCTACAACAAAATGACCTGTGGTCTTTATTTAAAAAAAGGACACAGACAAAACAGAGGGACAACCATGAAAAGACACAGCTAGAGGGTAGCATTCTACAAACCAAGGACAGGCTTCTGAAGAAACCGAACCTGTTATCACCTTGATCTGACATTTCTAACCCCCAAATTGTGAGAAAACAAATTTCTTTTGTTTAAACCACTTAGTCTATGGTATTTTGTTAAGGTAACCCTGTTGATCTAAGTCATTGATGTGCTGTTTTTACATTTACAGCATCTTCTAAATTAGGAATAACCATATTTTAAAGGCTTAGTAACCACATGTAGCTATGAATATCATACAAGACACCGTAGCTCTAGAAAATAGACCTTCAAGAAAATATGAGAAATAAGTTATAACTCTAGTAACTGCAAAAATTTCTCTATACACAAATGTAAATAGAAGTTTAATAAGCATACTTTATCTCAAGTTAAAACTTCAAACATCCTAAGAGCAAAACTATGCTTCACTACTTTTCTATCCCAAGGCTTAAATATGCAAAACTCAACTTTGAGAAATACCTATCAGGTGCATTATAGTCTCGCCCTTCTTTGCAACGACATCTTCGTATATCACAGTGTTCATAGGGCTCCAAAAGCTCTTGATAGGCATTTTCCTCTAATTCCCAAGATGCATCTCTATAAATGAAACAATATATGAAATATACTTTGACTTATAAAGTTACACAAAAGGATTGGTAATGAATGTCAAAGTAAAAACCTTTGACATACTTAAAAACAAGTATATACCATATCTTTTAGTATATTCTTTTAGGAACACGGATAAAAATTTTCTTTTAAGATAGTCTCCTTAATACAAACTCTAATATGTCACTTTATTCTACCATTCGTCACAGTAAATTTAGGAATGCTAAATGAAACATTAAGCAATAATTTTCTAAAACTTATATTTTTCTAACACTTCACTCTTTTTTTTTGGTACCAGGGATTGAACTCAGATCCTTGCGCTTGCAAGGCAGGTGGTGGAATCACTGAGCTACACTACATTTTTAATTTCAAGTTTAATATCATTATTTCTGGATTCTTCACCTTTAAGTACTAAGAAAATTCTTATCATTCATTTTAAACCCATTTTGATTTTCCTAATTTATAAATAACATTTCAAAGGTGATTACAGTTAAATATAAATCAATCAAAATTGAATACCACTGAAGTACTTAACAGACTCTATCAGTGATGGCAAACCTTTTAGTGATTTCAATGATAGCAAACAGCATCTGTGCCACAGGTTTTCCAACACTGCTCTATCTAATTCATTGAATGGGACACATATCATAGTCCTTGCTTTCTTGAACTAGAGAAGGCGAAGGAGAAGGGTTTGCATTTCACCATTTGAAATGGCTAAATGTCCATTGACCACTTGATCAGGCATAAATGATTATTTCTACTATTATTAAATCCTGTATTTAAAATATCTTTCTTTTTGCTGATTGAAATGCTAAATATTACTCACTTTTCAGGAATATGAATTCCCATTCTCAACATCTCTTTCTGAAAGATGTCACTATTATTGCATATTGTACACCTAAAGAAAAATACTCCTGCATTTATTGCTTGAACCTACAGTGGAAAATGGAAAATCTATTGTTAACAACTTAAGTCTGTCATCAAGTTATGAATTATATAACTAATAGAATATGAGATTTTTTTTTACTTTATAGGTTATGAAGACATTTTTTACATCCATGGTTCTCAAATCTTATAAACCAAGTTACTTGAAACTGCTGACATCTGGAAAACTTTTTATCCCATGGTAAGAAAAAACAAAACACACACACATACACACACACACAAAAAAAACCCCAAAATTTCTGTTGAATAGACAGCTATTAATTTTGTAGCCATCATGTATTTTTCTCAACCACTGATACTAATGTAATTTTAGCTCCTAAATATGTTGTTATTTTCCATCCTATGAGAAAAACAGTGAAAATCGGTAACAACTTCATTAAGAAAAGTAATTGTTAAAACCATTTTTGGCTGTTTATAACTTAATCTGACTTTTCTACCCAAAAGGAGAGAAATACAAAACACGTTCACAATGGTGCAGGAAATACAAAGACAAGCTGCAGGCAGAGGGTGCTCAGAAAGAAAGAAGAAACTAAAACCTTAGTAGAAAAAGTATTCAGTCTCAAAACAAAAGCAAAAAACACAAAAGAACAAACAGTAGCGCACACATTCATTTAAAAATATTTTAACCCTGTTATGGATTGTATCTAAATGTCCCCCCAAAATCTCATGTGGTCATAGTTTGGGCTTTTCAGAGGTGGCTGGATCTAGGGTTTTTACTGCTGGGATCAAAGATACTATACTGGGATTGACTTGCGTGTGATACTAGGACTAAGGCTGTGAGTGCTCCTTGTGGATAATCTGGGTAAGATATAAGGGATAGAAAAAGCTGTGGTCACAGCTTGCCGCTTGATGCTTAGATGAGTTTGGTGCCTTCTGCCTGCCATAAACTCTTTCTGCAATGACCCTCTGCTGTGCCACTCTTCCTTGGAGCCAGCTGATTTGGACTGAAACCTCTACAAACTGTGACATGAAATAAACCTTTCCTCTAACTTGATGTTGGGTATTTTTTCTCAGCAACAAGAGACAAACCCCCTACTTTATAAATAAGATATGTAGCAGAAGTTACTGAAATCTCTGAAACTGAAAAGAAGCTTTTAGCAATTGTAGAGAGATGCTGAGAAGTTACTAAATATAAGAAATGGTACAAAGGAGTATCTGGTATAGAGGAAAAAACACATAGAAGATAGCAACAGGTTTAAAGCAATATTGGAGAAATCCAAACTGAACAAAATTAGTGACAATTCTCCAGATAGAATGAAAATTTCTTAATAAATTTCGTTGTTTCTAATCTGTGGTCTTTTTGTTTTCACCAAAAAAGAAAAACATTTGTTTAACCACTTATAATAGTTATCTGGACTGGGTAGAATACTAATAATATTTCAATTAAGATTCTGCACCAAAGTAGAAAAGCTACTTGGAGACCTTTTAGTGAAAGTGACTCAAGAAGGAGCCCTGCTGCAGTTTGCCTTAATCAAATAATTGCTTACTGATACTTATATAACAGACAAGCATTCATGTTGCTATGATTGTAAATTAATTTTCACAAAATAATAATAATTATTATTTTTTTTAAACTGGGAGGGAACCAAAAGCCTACCACTGAGCTATACCACAGCTCTTTTTTATAAAATCCTTTGAGACAGGTTCTCCCTATTGTCCAGGTTGGCTTTAAATTAAGAAATCACTTTTTAAAGATTCTCATATAATGTGAACTTCTTCCTCAACAGGTAAGGATAAAACTTCAAGTTGTTTATTAAATGCATCCTCCCTCTCTCTCTCTCTCTCTCTCTCTCTGTCCATTTATGTACATTTCTCTGCCAGAATTAAAAGAATTTCTAATATTCTCCCATTTTTACCTGAGTAATCCTAAATATAAAGTTGAAGCCCTATGCAAAAAAAAGAGTAATCAACCAAGATTAAATACTTTGATTACTGATAATACTTTTAAGATTTCACTGAAATAGAAAAGAATTTATATCTAACTTTAAGAAATGTAAACAACTTGCAATCAGCAGTAACACCTCATTTTAATAAACAAAATCTAAGCTTTAAAAAATAGTATTAAACATAAGTAGATTCTTTGTCTAATAGGTACCACTTTCAAACATGGATCTTACATATTTGATATTATTGATAATTGAGATCTTTTTAAGATATTTAAGAATTTTCCAAATCAAAGAAATAGTAAATTGTATAATGTTGTGTGTGAAGTTTTTCTTTTTTTTTCTTCAGTGCTGTGGATTGAACCTACATCTTTAAGCAAGTACTGAGCTATCTCCCCAGCCCAAGTAGTGTTTTATAATATTCTATTTACTTGAAAACCAGTTACCAAGTTTGATATACAGTATCTCTCAAAGAATCAATACTTTTAATTTCTTTGACAGTAATCAGCTCCCATCAAGGAATTATAATTTCCAAATTATGAAAAAAAACATATTTCTTATTATCAAGCTTATTACTTCCGTTTTTCTAGCTTAAATATATAAACACTGTTTAGAATTAAAATCTTTTATTGTGAAATATAAAATTCTTAAGTAAAAAACAATTTTATAAGTATAAAGTTACATTGGAAGGTTGCATCTACAATATTTATTGAACTAACTGTATATTTAAATTGGGTAAATTTTACATGTAAAATTACTACATATTGAATGCTTTATAGTTGCTTTAAAAGAATAGCTAATTTATACATCAATGCCAACTTAAAATTCAAATCAGCAAGCAATACACTTTATTTCAAAGCTTATAAAATAAATCTTACCTGTACACAGTCTCTATGAAACCAAGCATTCTTGCAACAAGGACTTCGTAATACACTGTAAGTAGGAATAGGTGCAATAAATTCCAAACAAATGGTGCATGGTACAGAGTCTCTATAATTATTAGGTGTAATAATTTGAACAGGACGATGTTTCCAACAAAATGACCTAAAAATGTAAAATATTTAAGAATAATAATGAATTGCAAAATACATTTAGGCTAGCATTGTAATTGACATATTTAAGAGAAAATTCATTTGTATCTGTCTCATAACCTACAACAGATCATAGCCTTAGCATTAGAAATTATTCTATGATTAAATATCAGGGTCATTCAAAATGTAAACTTTTTTTTTAATTTAAATTGAATTTATTGGTACATTCTAGGTAGACAGTACAGTTACATTCATTACTGGGATCTTGTACCTTTACATGCCAGGTTTTTGTTCTCATTTTTCCCCCTTGTCCCACCCTCCCTTCACCCCCTCCTCTCCTCCCCACCTTCAAACACTTTTAATTCCAATTTTACATTTTCTCATCTTTTTTTTTCCTTTTCCCTTATTCCCCTTTCCCTATCCTTCTCACTGTCCCTACACCTTTGGTCCTTTTCTTCATTTCATGTTTTTTTCCTTTTCCCTTATTCCCCTTTCCCTATCCTTCTCACTGTCCCTACACCTTTGGTCCTTTTCTTCCTATTTCATGTTGCTAATTGTCCCATTAGGATCTTGAGTACTATTTTAGTTTTTCACACCAGAGAAACTATTCGGTATTTACACATATGTGACTTATTTATTTCACTTAGGAGTATATCCTCAAAATGTACCCATTTGCCTATGAATGAATTTTTCATTCTTTATGGCTGAGTAGTATTTCATTTTATAGAAAAACCACATCTTCTTTATCCAGTTTCCAACTGATGGGCAGACCGGCTGTTTCCAAGTTTTAGCTGTTACAAACTGTGCTGCTATAAACATGGTGTGCGTATATCACTGTGGTATGATTCTTTCAATTCTTTTGAAAAGATACCCAGCAGAGGGATGGCTGGGTCAAATAGAACCTCTAATCCTAGTTCTCTGAGGTATCTCCATATTGATTTCCATAGTGGTTGCACCAGTCTGCATTCCCACCAATGGAGAAGGGTTCCTTTCTCCTCACAACCACGCCAACATTTGTTATTGTGTGATTTCTTGATAGCAGCCATTCTTTGTGGGGTGAGGTGGGATCTCACTGTTGTTTTCATCTGCATCTCTCAAATGACTAGTGATGTGGAACATCTTTTCATATATGTAATTGCCGCTTTTACTTCTTTTTCTGAGAAATGTCTGTTCATTTCAGTTGCCCATATTTGAATTAGGTCTTTATATTTGGGGGCTGATTGTTTTGAGTTCTTTATATATTCTAGATAATAGAGGTTTGTCTGAGAAGCAGCTGGTGAAAATTTTTTTCCCACATTGTAGGTTGTCTCTTAGTTCTGTTGATGGTTTCTTTTGCAGTGCAGAAGCTTTTCAATAAGATGACATCCCAGTTGTTGATTCTATCTGCTAGTTCCCGTGCTACTGAGGATTTGTTCATAAAGTCTTTTTCTATGCCAATGTCTTCAAGAGTTCTGCCTAACTTATCTTCCAGCAAGTTTAATGTTTTTGTTTTTATATTTAGATCTTTAATCCACTTGGATTTTAATTTAGTGCATGGTGAAAGATAAGGGTCCAGTTTTAATCTTTTGCAGGTTGAGATCCAGTTTTTCCAACACCATTTATTAAAGAGGCTATCTTTCCTCCAGTGGGGACTGTCAGCTCCTTTGTCAAAGATGAGGTAGCTGAGTGCATCTGGAGTTGTTTTTGTGTCTTCCAATCTGTTCCACTGATCCTCAGGTCTGTTTCTTTACCAGTACCATGCTTTTTATCACAGTGGCTTTGTAGCATAGTTTCAAATTGGGAATTGTTATACCCGCTGCCATGTGTCTGTTGCCTAGGATGGCTTTTGTTATTCTAGGTCTCTTATGGTTCCAAATGAATTTTTGGATTCTTCTTTCTAGTTCTGTGAAGTATAGTGTTGGGATTTCAATTGGTATTGCATTGAATCTGTATAGCAGTTTTGGTAGTATGGCCATTTTAACTATGTTGATTCTTCCTACCCAGGAGCAGCGGATATCTTTCTATTTTCTTATATCCTCCTCGATCGCTTTCTTCAGAGTGCTGTAGTTTTCAGTGTAGAGGTCTTTTGCTAGATTGATTCCCAGATACTTCATTTTTTTGGGTGCTATTGTGAAAGGAATTGTTTCCCTAATTTCTCTCTCAGTGAGTCTGTTATTTGTGTACAAGAAGGCTATTGATTTTTGGGTGTGGACCTTGTATCCAGCTACTCTGGTAAAAGTTTCATTTAAGTCGAGAAGTCTTTTGGTGGAGTTTTTTGGATCTTCAATGTAGAGTATCATATCATCAGCAAATAATGACAGTTTAACTTCTTCCTTTCCTCTATATATTGCTTTAATTTCTTTCTCTTGTGTAATTGCTATGGCTAATGTTTCCAGAACTATATCGAAGAGGAGTGGTGATAGTGGTCATCCTTGTCTTGTTCCTGATTTTAACGTGAAGGTTTTCAGTTTTTGGCCATTTAATATGATGTTGGCTGTTGGTTTTTCATAGATAGCCTTTATTAAGTTGAGGCGTAGACCATCTTTTCCAATTTTTTGCAGAATTTTTATCATGAATGGGTGTTCAAAATGTAAACCTTTTGGTGGTAAGATCTCATACAGAATTTCAGTAACTAATATTGAGAATCCTATGTAACACTATTAGCAATGAAGTATATATATATATATATTTAGTATTCAACATTGTATAAAATTAAAAGAGGTAATTTATAGAGTATTTTAATCATATAAATATAAATCATGTAAATAATAGCATATTTCCAAACCATTTTATTTTCATTTGTATTTTTAAAAATGATATGCATCTTATTCATTTAGTAGATACTTTAGTATTGTGGCAGGAGCACTTAACATCTATCCTCTTAATTTTTTCACATCATTTTTATTAATCCATATTAGTTATGTAGATTAATGGGTTTATTTTGGCAGGTTCATATATGTACATAATATACTCTGATCATTTTCACTCTGATCACACTCCTTGTTCCACCTTCCCCCAAGTTTCACATTTTTAGAGAGGGTTTCAATGTGTATAACATCATATGGTTGTATCCATACCTGACTCTTACTCCCTTCCTCTTTTTAATAATCTTTCTAGTTTGTTATTTTTTTAAACATTTGACATATTAGGGAAAAAAGCGGTATTTGTCTTTCTAAATCTTGCTTATTATGCTCAACATAATAATCTCCAGCTCCATCCATTTTTGTGTTAATGACAAAATTTTGTTCTGTATGGCTTAATAATATGATATACTTTCCTTATTTGTCTGTTAATGGGTACCTATGCTGGTTCCATATCTTGGCTATTGTGAATTATGCCACAATATACCAAGGAATGGTATAACTGGATCAAGTGGTAGCTCTAATTGTTTTTTTTTTTTTTTTTTAGTAACCTCCCTCCATAGTGATGCCCATTATACTTGTATTAATTTACGTTTTCTAATTTAGTTTTCTTACATAGTAACAATCCATTAGTTAAGTCAAAATACAAAGACTTAAAGAAATGGAATACTCATGCCATCAAATGCCAAAATTCATGTCAGAAGCTGTACTCAAGAAGTAATATTTTCAGGGTGTCCCATGGTATATGTTATGGCTTGTGTCTCTAGATGTCCCCCAAAGCTTCATGTGGTCATTAGTGGGGTTTTTCAGAGGTTGCTGGATCTACAGCGTGTGATGCTGGGATTAAGGGTGTGTGATTACCAAATCAGTCCACTGATTGGTCTGGCATAGTTCTGGGCGTGGATTATGAGAAGGCCCCTACTGGTCAGATTATGGACTAAAACCTCTACAAACTGTGAGCTGAAATAAACCGTTTCTCCTTTAATTTCAGGTCTCAAGTATTTTGTCTCAGCAATGAGAAAAGTAACTAAGACAGTGTAATATTTATTTTTTGGATTTAGGCAAATTTATGTGCCTTCAGCGAGAAATATATATTGCTCCAAGACAGAAAACTGGACCAACAATTCTATTTTTTTTTTTTTTTTTTTTTTTTTTGGTGCCAGGGATCGAACTTGGGTCCTTCTGCTTGTGAGGCAGGTGGTGGAACCACTGAGCTAAATCCCCAGCCTATATCAATTCTTAACAATGACATAAAAATCTAGAATAGTGTAAGGTAGAAATTTTCACTGAATATAAATAACAGTTCGATATTATAGGCCAGCACTGAAAGTTGAAGGGTAATATTAATCACTGTACATATTCTAGACATTGCAATTCTCAAGATTTAGTAGGCAGAAATAACTCCATGGTGGGAGGATATGTCATATATAGTGTATATGTATAAACTCAGTAATATAGATATATTACTTTTTAAAGTTGCACTAAGTTTATACAACAGGGAAATTATATCTTTCAGATATTAATTTACCACTGTTCTTTAACATTCATATTTCACAGTTAAATAACTCACGCAAAGTTGCCAGTAAACTGGAAAATACATTCTCTTTGAAGTCCACATGGGAAATGATAACTTCGTTTACATCGAGGTGCTACGCATCCAATAGAAGCACCATTTTTCCTGCAAACAGAGCATTTCTACAAGAAAATATGAAAACAGGGCCATATAATAAAAACTTGACTACTATAATATGATCAAAGTATTAATAAATTTTACTTGTGAGGAAACGGAAAATTATTTCCATCATAATACTTGTGATGACAGTACCTTAAGGAACTTTCCTAAAAAACCTACTCTAGGGCTGGGGATTTAGCTCAGTGGCACTGTGCTGCCTTGGAAGCACAAGGTCCTGAGTTCAATTCCCAGCAACGCAAAACAAACAAAACCCTTTTCTACTCAGAAATAATTTAAATCTTCAAGAATTCATTGCTATAAGAAGTCCCTTTTCATTCCTATCTGCTAAAATATTTTAAACTGAAGAGTTTAAACACACAACATCTATACACAAAAGCTGCATTTAAATTTAAATAGAAAGCACAAAATTTAGGAAATATTCACCAAGAACAACAATAACACAAAATACTAAAAACTAATTTGTAAGAAACTGGCTAAAATGACTTTATCCTCATCAAAATGAAAAACTTTTAAATGATTGTAATGGGTTCAACAGGTTCTTAAAAAAGATGTTTAAGCCCTAAAACTCTCAGTACTCAAGATTCTGACTTGCTTAGAAATAGGGTCTTTACAAATAATCAGTGAGATCATTCTGGATTTGGGGTTGGCCTTAAATCAAATGACTGATGTCTTTACAAGAAAAGAGAGGCAGATTTAAGACACATAGAAAGAAAGGCCATTGAAGATGGAAGCAGAGGTTGCAGTTATGTTTCCACAAACCAAGGACACCAAAGGTTGCCAGCTGGCACAAAAAGCTAGAAGAGGAGCATAGAATAAATTCTATCTCAGAGGCTATGAAAGAAATCAACCCTTCGGCCAACTTGACTTAGAACTCTGGCTTCTAGTATTGAGAGAATTTCTATAATTTGTAATGACATACCCAGGAAACAAATAGTGTAACACTGCAATTAAATTAGACATAATGGTGGTACTTAAACAGAAAGACTGTAATAATCAATCATTAGAAAAATAGAGTGTACCTTAAACATAATGGAACCCTTAAACAGCCATTATAGGTCACTGCTTCAGGATTACAGGTTTATTGTTAATGTCTCAACTATACCAAAGGAATAGGAAAACCATTGACTAATCTGAGACTCTCCCAGTGAACTAACACAAAGGAATTCTACAGAATTGAGGTTGTGTCTCAGGTTCACAGTGTACTCTACTACTCAGTGAAGATGCCAATGTTTTAAGAAAATGCATAGTTCCAAACCATCAGGAGTAGTCCAGCCGGGATTTAGCTCAGTGGTTCTGCTGCCTGCCTTGCAAGTGCAAGGACCTGAGTTTGATCCCTGGCACCCTTTGCCACAAACTCATCTATCATTAGCAGATTAAGAACTTCTGATGCTAATATCCTCACATGGTCTCTAGATTGCCCCTCAAATAGTCTTTTCAACCAAGGTTTTCCTTTGTGCCTTAGAGCCTCTATTTTATGATCAACTCTCTTGGTTCCTCAACATCTTAAAAAATAATTGCCTACAATCCTTTGCCTTATCGAAATAAAGGTTTTTATGTTTACTGTGTAAACTTTCTTGAGTGAAGCTTATTTCACATTCTCCTTAATTTTCAGATTTGGCACAAGGTGATAGCAGGATATACACAAGGGCAGGAAGGGGAACAAAGTATTATTTTAGCTCTCTGTTGAAGATTTTAGCACATTATTCTATTTTTATACTAAAAAAAAAAAAAAATTCCTAGGGCCAGGGATTTAGCTCAGTGGCACCAAGCCTGCTTTGCAAGTGCAAGGTCCTGAGTTTGATCTCTGGTACAAAAAAAGAAAAAGAAACAAAAAAAGACAAAGAAGAAGATGAAGACGAAGAAGTAGAAGAAGAGAAATTCTAGTCATCTAATGACATCTATTCTTCTATTACCTAGTGACTTCCTAATGAGTCTTCTACCTCAGGACTTAGGCACTTGAGTCATAGGTATGCTCTATATTTTAATTCTCGCTATCATTCTAAATAATTCCATTTATAAAACAACTTTTATGACTTTCTAAAGTATAGTTTATCAATGCCCTTTATCTCCACTCCAGTGTAATGATGAATTTCTTATCACCCAAACTGCTCCATCAACAGAAATCAATTCTAGTATGACATTCTCTAAATAGAATTCCCCCTACTTCCACTTTTCTCATTCTCTATCACTATTTCTACTCAGACTATATGGAGTCCTACAGTCCTTTTCTTGTAGAAAGTCATAAATAATAACTGAATGAACAAGGGATTGAAGCTTTGCATATCTGTCATGGAAAACAGGAGAGCACTAAACACAAGTAGAAAATGTCACAGAAGGGTCATAAAAATTATGGAAATCATAAAATCACACTTGCATTATTTCTACCTCAATCTATCGTTGCAACCTTAGTAGTGGAGGTATAAGAACTTACAAAGTAAACTGCTGGCTTGATTCCAGATTAAAGGTTTGCTGATTAAAGGTCATAATCTGATGAAAGGGTAGGTGAAATGATGAATAGGGTGAATAAGATAAAGTAATCACTATTGTTATATGTTTACACAAGATCAGTTAAGCTCTCATTCGCAAATAAAAAAATACAAAATGTTGTACTAAAACTTACCATAGTTGAGAAAATACACATTAGAACATACCACTAAAGCCACAAATTTCTTGTACAGACACCAAAAGAGACTTCTCAAATACTGACAATATTTATGGAATACAGTATGAGTAAAATAATTTACTTACCAGTTTAGAAGCTCTATTCACTTCCTTCCTGATGTCTTCTATTAGAAAACCATACACTCCTTCTTCTTCTTTACCTCTCTGCCAAATTCCACTGGACATCAACTATAAAAATATTCTCAATTAGAAGACAGATTATAAGAAACTAATTTGGATTTCAAATATTCACTCCAATAAGACAACTCAAATTTCCAAGCACCTATAAAAATAGTCATTTTTCATGGTCAAAATAAGAGACTACTCATGTCCTTTGATTTGAAAGAGACTATATATTAAGGGCTTATATGCCAAACTAGATTCTAAAACAGTCCTAGGAAGTAACACAAAATGAGAAAGAAGGTAGGAAGGCAATACATAGGTGACTGAGAAAGTGGGAAAAAAAGGAAAGAATACAAAACATTAAGCTTTAAAGAAAAAGAATAGTAAATACTGATGGTTGTGAATGTATTAACAATAAATACTATTTTAGGCTAACTTTAAATCTATCTGAATTCTCAATCATAAGTGTGTAATGGCTTTTTAAAAAAATCTCCTTTTAGCTTAAATATGCTAAGGAAACATAATTAAGAAAAAGTGTGGACTGTGAATATGAAATCCAGCTTGCTAACAAGTGCCTAAACTTCTAGAACCCTAAACAAGTTATTATGTCACTGACCTTAAACATGAAAGTAAGAATATCAGAGCAGATTGCCTCTAAGTCTCTTTCAGATCTAGCATTATATTACCACTGGTAATAGTATAATATTTTGCTGTTCATAATGAAACAGAATCTTAACATAGGAGAGTCTGAAGCCAGTACTTTTTTTAAAGGATTATACTTAGAAATTCCTAGTCTACCAGTACATTTAACCTGTAGAGTACCTGAGACACAGAAAACCACAAAGGAATACTTCAAACAGTTTCTTAAGGAAGCACTGAAAAACTTTAGATGATAGTGAGCTTCAAAACACATCCACAGATGTGTTACTACTTCCTTTAAGAGATGGCACCAACCCTCCCCTTAACTTGCTTCTAATAAAAAAGCAAAAGTGAAGCTGTTGTGTGGCTCTGAATATTAAGTAACAGATTAACCCTCTCTTACTATCTGCTTTGGGGAAAGCCAGCTAACATACTGTGCGGATCCCTACTGGGAGGCCTAACAGGTAAAGAGCTGAGGCCCCTCACCAATTGCTAGGAAAAACTGTAACCAAAAACAACATGAATGAGCCTTTGCAGAAGGATCCTTCAGCCTACTAAAGCTTTCAGATGGGCTGACATCTTGACTATAATCTCTTAAAACTCTGAGCCAGAACCATATAGTTTAGCTGAAATCAGAATTTCACCCTAAGAAATTACACAAGAGCGGGGGATTTAGCTCAGTGGTTCTGCTGCCTCCTGCTTCACAAGCGTAAAGTTCCGAGTTTGATTCCCAGTACTAAAAAGAAAGAAATCACATGAGATAATAAATGTTAGTTTAGCCAAGTTTCAGAATAATTTGGTAAGCAGAAATAGATTTAATTCAGTACAAATAAATATTGTGTGTATTAATACAATCTTGGTATGCTAAGGTACTAATGGTGTCACTATTAAGGCACAGATTCAAGTGGAATAAAAAGTTTTTAAATGAGGGACTGATGAGCAGGATCAAATCACTCTTGCTTTCATCTGAGTGACCCATACCTTAACCTTATTCTTTTCCACTAATATGAATTACTTTTAGCCAGAATTTTTTCTTCCAAGTTCTCTGCAATAAAACACTTTCTTTTACTCCCTGAAGTTTCAAACAAGTCTTTTCAGAGATTAATCAATAGCAACAAAGGAAAGAAAACAAAGTTAAAAAGACACTTTCCTTATAGAACCAGTTTAGACCCCTTTTTTGTAATTATACAAAAGTAATCAGTTAATGTGGACAGATCTTTCTATTTACCAAGTAATTCCAGATCCTTAGAATTAGATATACAAAAGAAAAAAAATCTTATTTTTTACACACAGGCAAAACAAAATTCAAAAAAGTTAAATGATTTATCAAGTTATGAGAAACCAGTGTAAGCATCTAATTCTTTAGAAATCAAATATTTAGAATTACAAATTATACTCACCAAGCAATAGTAATGTACAGTGAGATTCCATTTCTCATTAGTTTTCTTTTCTCCATATTTAATAGCACAGTCATCGTTTTTTCGACAGAAAACACAAGCTAACAGTGAAAAAGTAGATATAAAATATATTTTAAAATTTCAAAATAATTATGTAATTGCTGCTTTTCAACTGTTAAATTCTTCCAGAAAGAGCAAACTGCAGTCAGTAATTTAAAATTTCCAATACCTATTTCTAATACATTAATGTGACTTTATTATTTTTCACCAGTCTTCAGTGATAAATTCTAGTGTATGGCTAAAACGGAAATTGTAGGGGTAACATCCTAAAAATAATGAATTACTCTACTAGAGCAATGATTGAGCTGCCAAAAACTCAGAATCAAACTTTTAAGAAGCTCTGGAATGTAACAAACTTTCAAAATTGTTTTAGAAAATTAGGAAAATGCTCGATGGAGAAATAAGCTGCTAAATTCTCATGAGAATATTCTAACTTACTATTCTCCACTCACAAATTGAGCAGTGATCTTGGGTAGGTCACTTTCTTGTACACACTGTGGGTCCAAGAGGAGATAATATATATGGAGCTTGTTGTCCCAAAGAAATGATTAAGTGTTTTGATATGTGTGACAACACCCTGAGTGATGGGTCTTTGTCTTGTTTGGCCGGGAACTTTTCCAAAGTTGAAATAACATACTAACTGCAACAGCCTAGGGTAAAGGACAACAGATAGCTTTAAGCAGCTGACAGATTAAGAAGTACAAGAAAGAAGAGGCTAGAAGAAAGGGATACACAGTGAAGGAAATAAGTGCTTTGAAAAATTCCAAATATAATAAAGGATCCAGAGGGCCATGTGCATGTCTGAGGAAGTATGCATAGTCAAAGAAGACTGAGAAACCTCTACTTAATCTTTAGTTTATGCAAGCCTATAGTAAAAAGGATCTCAAATTGATAACCTAATTTTACATCTTAAAGAACTAGAAAAAGGAGGAAACTAAACCCAAAGCTAGCAAAAGCAAGGAAGAAAGAAAAGCTTAGACCAGATGAAGCAGAATCAATAAAAACAAAAATAGGTTCTTTGAAAAAAACAAAATCTACAAATTTTAGCTAGATTGAGAGAAAAGACTAAAAACTTACAATAAAACTACAGTGATCAAAACAATGTGGCCCATTTTCTTTATCCAGTCTCCAAATAGGACACGTGTAAATACTGAATAGTTTATCTGGTGTGAGAAACCGAAAGTGTAAATAAGGATCAAAATGTGATAATGTGAAATAAGAAGAAAAAGTCTAAAGGGGTAGGGGAACTGGGATAGGTAGGGGAAAGAAGGGAAAGAAAAAAATATGAGAAAAGGAAAAAATGGAAACAAAGTCTTTGTAAATAGGGAGGTGTGGAGGGGTTTCAGGAAGGGTAGGGAAATGAGGAAAAAATAAGAATCAAGAAATATCATGTAAAAGAACAAATTCCCAATGATGAATGTCATCGTATTGTACACCTAAAATGTACCAATAAACTTAATGAACAAACAAACAAACCCAAAAAAACCAATGTGGCACAGGGATATAGAAATCATTACAAAAGGAGGATCCAGAAATAAAATTTTACATCATAGTCAATTTATTTGTGACAAGGCTGCCAATGGGGAAAGAAGTATCTTCAATAAATACTGCTAGGACAACTGGATAACAAGATGTACGAGAATAAAGCTGACCCTCTACTTCACACCATATCTGAAGATTAATACTGGTAAAGGATCTAAATGTAAAACCATGAAACACTTAGAAAATATGAGGAAATTACATATCTAATAAAGGTCTAGTATCTAAAATACATAAGACATTCTTACATCTCAAAAACAGAAACAAAAAAGAACACATTGTAGATGGATGAAGAATCTTTTTTTTTTTTCTTTTTTTGGGTACCAGGGATTGAACTCGGGTCCTTGTGCTTGTGAGGAAGGTGGCGGTACTACAGAGCTAAATCGCCGGCCCTGAAGAATCTTTATATTTCTCATTCTCCAAAGATGGCATACAAAAGCCACAAAACATTAAAAGATGCTTCATTAGTCACAGTCAACAAAGAACTGCAAATCAAATCCACGAGATAACTACTTCACACCTGAGCACAGTTACAATTAGAATAACAGTTCCACAAGACACAGCAATTCCCTTCCTAGATATATAAACCAAAAAAATAGAAACAGACATTCAAGCAAATAATTACTTGTACATTAATATTCACAGCAGCACTTTTCACAAAAGGTAAAATGGAAACAAATTAAAATCCATTAAGTAGATAAAATATGGTGTTCATACAATAAAATGTTATTCAGCAATAAAAAGGGATAAGGTACTAATATATGCAATAACATATATAAGCCACACGAGCTGGGGATTTAGCTCAGTGGTTTCACCAGCTGGCTTGCAAGCACAAGGTCCAGAGTTCGATACGCAGAAACAAAACAAAACAAAAGAAAAACATAGATAAGCTATAAAACATGCTAAATGAAAGAAATCAAGGTCACATATTATGTGCTATCATTTACATAATGCATTACATTATCTGGAACAGGCAGATATGAGAGAGACAAAAAGCAGATTACTGGTAGCCAAAAGCTAGGGACAGAGAAAATGAGAAGTAACCTCCCAATGAATAAAGAGTTTCCTCTAAAATTATAAAAATGTTTAAGAAGACAGTGGTGAAGGTTCCACAGCACTGTGAAGGAACTGTACATTCAAAAGTAGTTAAACTGGTAAATTTTGTTATGTGCATTTTAACACACACACACACACACACACACACACACAACTTGTGGAGTCAGGGCGAAATAAAGACTGCTCTATAATCTTTTTCTCCTCCATTTATGTATTTATGATATATAACAATGTTTTGAAATAATGTATATATTGCAAAATGACTATCAAATGCACTAGTTCACATATCCACCATGTATTTGTGGAGAAAACACAACAGACCTTTTGAACTTACTCCCTTTGTCTACTAAATGTCCTTTGAGAAGCATCTTGCCAGTGTTCACCTTTCCCTCAACCCTGCTCTCCATTCTAACCACCATTCTATTCTCTGCTTTGGTGAGTTCTACTCTTTTAGATTCCACAAAGTGAGATCATACTGTATTATCTTTGTGTGCCTGGTTTATTTCACTATAGTGTTTTGTGACTCTGTTTCTTCAACTTATAAATAAGGACAACAGTATCAATTTCAAACTATATCTTGAAGATTAAATGACAATACACTTTAATACAGTTAATAGGGTAAGACACATTGAAGTGTCAGAGTCTTAGTATTATAGTTACTAATTTTTTCTTATGTTTTTCTCATGTCTATGTAATTTAGAAAATTTTACTAATATGCTAATAAAACAAGAAAACTCTTACTAGCTAAAGCAAAAACATTCTGAGCACCTCAAGGCAGCAGATCCACACAAGATGGAGGGCATACGAATCTCAAAATGACTTCATGAAGCGAAAATTCCGTAGACCTCATCTTCCCTAATCAATCCACACTGGACTGTAACTTGACAAAGTAATATACTTTTATTGTGTTAAACCATTAGGACTTCAGATTATACCTATTATAGCAGTGATTAGTATTTACTTTGCCTAACACATGTAATCAAGAATAGATGCTATGCGCTGCAAAGAACTGTATTATTAACAGGCTGCTCACAAAACAAATTCTAGAACTGGAAAAAAACAGTACAAGCTAATATTTAATACTGTGAAACATCCTTACTATACTGACTTTCCTTACTCCAGTTCAATGAGATAAGTTATAACTTAAAAGCTCTCCCGAACCTTTTAAGAGATTTTAGCTTTCCTTCTTTCGCAAAGGACCTGTCCAAATACATGAACACTAGCAATCTGTCATTTGTTCATGTTGGATATCTTACTTTTGTATTTATGTGCACGCTGAAGTTTTTAAAAAAATTTAATGTTTAAAATTCAGTAAAATTGTTCTGACTTCATTATATTTATTGATAAGAAATGATCTTGGTTTTTGTAATTAAAGTTTCCACTTAAACACGTTCATACAAATGAAAAATAGAGTTAATCTTGGAAAAAGCAAGTATGTAAAGGGTTCAGAGGTATATTTGCACTTGACAAATTATTGTAGTTACTACGCAAATTACTAAAAATTTAGAACTATTAGCACAGTCACTTGCCCAAGTTCACAGAATTAGTAAATAGGAATACACTAATCCATTGAGAAGTGACCGCCAGAATATACTGTGCCAATTCACTTGCAAATGATGAGAGTACCGGGGCCAGGATTTAGCTCAGTGGTTCTGCTGCCTGCCTCGCAAGCGCAAGGACCTGAGTTTGATCCCTGGTACCAAAAAACAAAACAAAACAAAAAACAAATGATGAGAGTACCAAAAAATTACAGATTGCAATATTAACTATCAAGGCAAGGATTAAATCCACACATAAAGATTGTAGCATGTCATCCAATTTAAGATCCTCCAAAACATAGATACTGCAAAACTATTAGCATAGCTGACAAACATCTATAGATAGAAGAAAAGAAAGGAAGATATTTCTGAGCAAATTTCCTTATCCAAAATAAGGTGGGGTCAACAGATACTATCGAAATAATGGATAAAATATAGAATTTTAAGAATAATTTTTTTGTTTGTTCCTTGAGACAGGGTCTCACTATGTAGTTGAGATTGACCTGGATCTCATTATGTAGCCCAGGCTGGTCTTGACCTCACTGCAATCCTCCTGCCTCCATCTCCCAGAGTCTCCAGAGCTGGGGTTACAAGCGGGTGCCACCACGCCCAGCTTAAGTATATTTTTATCAGGAATATTTTAAATCTAAAAAACTGTGTGTCAAAAGAATACAAATTAACAATTTAATTTCTCATCTTTTATGGTAGCAAGTAAATAGATACTGCAAAAATAAAGAAAACTGCAACCAAATACCTTTGTTAAAAGGACTGCATCTATTTAAAAATATTTTTGTGAAGACTTTAAAGGTAAAATTTCCTTTTCATGCTAAACTATTATTATTATTTAAATTGTTCTGATTCGCATTTTTCATTTTGTAAGGAAAAGCCATGCAAAAAGGTGAAAAAAATAGCTGGGTGTGGTGGTGCACATGTGTAATCCCAACATTCGGGAGGTCAAGGGGAGTGTTATGAGTTTGAGGCCAGCTTGCACTCCACAGTGAGTTCAAGGCCAACCTAAATTATATAGCAAGACCTTGTCTTAAAAAAAAAAAAATCCCAGAAACAAAAAGGTGAAAAATTTTACTTATTAAGTATTTCATTCAGACTCAAAGCATATCTGATAAATATATACACAGAATACAAATAAAATTTAGCAAATAGCAGATTCATCTATGGAAATACATGCTTTAGTACACAGAACTCAGATGGAGAAGAAGTTCACTCCTAGTGGATGGGCAGCATTCTAAAAATGTTCTATCTTTTAAATATTGTAAATATAGTTACTTACCAAGGTTCTGTGAGTCACCAGGTTTATTTTCATTCATTTTACTAGGAAAAATAAAAATATATCAATATAGCCATCTTAATTTTAAAAGCCTCAAATTAACCATTTAAATTAAATTTATTTGGTAAATAATTATAAATGGTTCTAGTAATCATTTCTTAGTCTCCTATAGTACATAATTTTCTTACCTTTCACACATATAAGACCAATAATTCTCAACAAGAGTTGCAGTCTGAGGACTTTTTTTAAAATTGGAGGGAATGTTTAATTATCAAAACATGTAACATGATGTTGTTATTTAGTACGAGGGCCAGGATTATAAGACACTGCAAAGCAAAAAAATCCTACACAACAATGAAGAGTAGATTTTCTAATTTTCAAGTGGATAGGGCTGGGGATTTAGCTCTGGTTCTGCTGCCTGCCTTGCAAGGGCAAGGTCCCAAGTTTGATTCCCAATACCAAAATTTTCAAGTGGATATTAAAGTAGGTGAAAAAAAAAAAACTTTAATTATACTGACCTAGAATCCAAGCCTTGTTACATATAAACATCAAGTCTTTTTTCTAGCTGTTAGGACAAAATGAGTATTACAACTAACTTCTATATAAATCGAACAACTTTTTATTTAACTTCTGTTCAGAATTTTGTCAAGCATTATTTAGAATTCTTTCAAATATTTTAAAAATCAGCAATGTGAAAACAATTCTTTTAAAATTTGTATTTATAGCTGTTGCACTTGAGGGATTCTATTGCCTCATCTCAATGCCTCATTACATTTTATCATATAATAGTGCTCAACCAATGAAGGTCACTGATCTGTCCCTATCACCTCATCCCACACTAGTTAACTTAATAAAATTACAATCATTATTGAAAATCCTTCTTTCTCCTAGAAGATCAAAGGGAAGAACAATGCAATCACATTTTATAATAGCAAATTCAATGTGTGGGAAGGTTTAGTATCTGCCCAAGTTCATAGAGGTAGTAAAGAATAGGCTAACCCACAAAGGTGTGACTACAGAGTAAATGGTGCCACTTCATGGGAAAATAATAAGAATACAAAAAAATTCTACAGAACATAGTATTACACGTCCAAGCAGGACAAAAATCACAAATACAGAGTGTTAGCAAATCCTCCAGTTTAAGATATTACAAAATGTAGGGCACACATTAACTTATGAATGCTGACTAACCCAATTAAATTGATATAATTCTCCCCTACAACCTATAATTTGCATTTTATACTGCCTATAAGAAAGAACTGTTCAGATTTAAGCAGGAATTTTTCTCATATAATGCTTTCATGTTTCTATATAAAGTTACAGATCTATCTTTTGAATCACTCTGACTCTAAGATTTCATTTTCTATTCCATCAAGATAAGTAGAGGATGGATGTCTACATATGTTCATACAACGACTATAAACTGCCCTTACAGGTCAAACAGATTGAGGATCCAACCTGTACAATCTGATTTCAAACACGTTAAAAGGAGTGAATGTATATATGTTGTAGGGAAGGAAGTCCATCTTAAAACTGATGATACAACAAATAGGATGAATTCAGTACAGTATAATATAAATCCAGGCACAAAATTCTATTAGCACAACACGATAATTTCTTTAATAATTAGAATAAATGTGAATTTTTAAATTTGCAGTTACTGTTTTTAACTCAGTATTCAAATACATATTTAAAAATTTGAAATCCCATCCCTCAAGCTTATAATTCCATTTCCTTTCCCCTTTTGGGTGAATTGTAGCTATCTATTGTTTTCTTTCAGATTTACTCTAATATAGAATAATGACTGAGGTTTGTTAATACCAGACAATGCTGGTAAATTTCTCAATGGTAAATCCCTGTATCATTCAGCATAGTGCGAATAAACACTTGTTAAATGCAAGCAAGTAGGCTTCGCCTTGAGCCTATCAAAACAATACTTTCTTGAAGTTTCATCAAATGATCCCCTTCTCCAAAATCCTATCAGAACTCTATTGTATCCATTTTGTGAAAAGCCCTGTGGTTCCTTTGGTTTATAATTTCACTGTAGAGTCAAGAAATGTAACTTCATTAGGCTACAGGTTAAACTAACTGGTCTAGGGCAAGTCAAAGAATAAAGCAAATGGCAAAAAATAATTGGTGAATCCAGACAAAGGGTGCATAGGAGCTTCTATACTACTCTGAGATGTTTTTCTAAACATAAAATTTTAACAAGTTACCCAAAAGTTGGATTGTGTGAAGATACTGTATAATTCATACTTCTGAGCAGCTGACAGCCTTCTTCTTAATTTTCAGCATCTGAAATAAACTTTTTATCCTGATTAGGATAATTTTATTTCAAACAAGTCTCCAAAACAAAACTTTTTAAAAAAGGCTATTCACACATTTTAAAATTTGATTTTATAATTTGTTTTAGTTATTTCTTTCAAGTTTATGAATTTTAAGATTTCCTAAGTGGAATGAGGAAAACAATGGTGTGTAAATACCTATCTCAACAGATAAATTTTTACAAAAATTCAATGAGGTTACTGGTACAATTTAAAAGGTGAACATTGTGGTCACATTCATCTTAGAGAATTTGTACCTGTGCATGATATATTTTGGTTATTTTTTTCCCATTCCCCTTTCCTCCCTTCTACCCCTCCCTATTTACATAAGCTTTGTTTACATTATTTCCTTCTGTTTTCATTTTTTCTTTCCTTTCCCCTGCCCTCCTCCTTAGTACCCCTTTCCCTTTGAACATTTTCTTCCTATTTCACAATAGCTATTATATGTTTTAGTTCTCATTTACACTTTGTTACTCACATCAGAGAAACAATTTGGTATTTACACACATGTCCTATATATTTCACTTAAGATAGATAGTCTCAAGGTGCATCCATGTAGCTATAAATGACTCTAGTTTATCATTCTTAATGGCTGAGTAATTCTTCATTTTATAAAAGAACCACATCTTTATCTAATCTCTGGTTGATGGTCAATTTGGGCTGTTTCCAAGATTTAGCTATTATAAACTGTGCTGCTATAAACATGAGTATTCATATATTGCTGTGATATGATGTTTTTAATTCTTTTTGGAAAATATCAAAAAGAGGAATAGCTGGTCAAATGGAACCTCTAGTTTTAGTTTTTTTAGGAATCTCCACAGATTTCCACAGTGGTTGCACCAGTCTACACTCACACCAACAGTAGAGAAGGGTTATTTTTTCCCCTGCCAGCATTTCTTATTGGTTGATTTCTTAATAGCCATTTTTTGGAGTGAGATAGAATCTCAGCATTGTTTTCATTTGCAAATAGATCAAATTTTAATAAAGGTCTTAGTCTTTAAAATATCAAATTGTTCCTTCCTGAGGAAATCTAAGTCTTTTTCACTGCTTATCTCTAGCTGGTCAGTCAGTGATAAGGTTTGATACTTGTTCCATAGGTACAGAATGGTGCCCCTTCTCGATTGGGAACGTGCTTAGTGTTTGGCAACTTGCTTAGTGCTTGGTAACTTGCTTTCCACAAAAAGTTTATGGTAGAAATGACAAATGTGTGTCTATATCATAAAAGGGACTGTGATTTCCTCCTTCCTCTACCATGGATCATACCCTCTGGAGGAAGTCAGTTGCTATGTCACAAGAACTTTCAGGATGCTCCATGGAGAGGTCTACTTGGTAAGAAATGGAGTCTTTCTATCCTCAGCCATGTGAGCAAACTCTCTGAAGCAAAGTCTCTAGCCCAAGCAAGGCTACACAGCTTGAAAGCAACTTCATGACTGACCCTTGGCCAGAACCACATAGTTAAGATGCTCCCAAATTACTTTTCTACAGATGTTGGCAGATAATAAATTTCTGTTGTTTCAAACTGCCAAGTTTTAGGATGATTTGTTACATAGCAAAATGTAGATTACTAACATAAGAAAGTAAGCCAAATTCTGATAGCTACTTTTGTATAAATGAACATCATGTCTTACCCACTTAACACCTCCTAAAGTTCATAATCCTACTGATTACAGCAAAGCTCAAATAAAAGATGATACTGAGTATATAGAAAATATGCTGGAATCAAACATTTAAAAGAAACTGATTTTTAAATCTGGCACTTAAAAGTAAATACTCTTGCTAAAGGAATGATTTGATTTAAATCACTTAGAAGGCTCAAACTAATCTATACAAAGCAAATTGGTATGTTCTAAATTCTCTTCCTTTACAACTCTGATGTTATTATTTGGATGTCCTATTCATATTTAGCATTTATTTCATATTCTCATTTGGCATGATTAATTTTATTTACTAAAAGTACATAAAGCAAAACTGGCAGAGCATAGAACTCTGGAAGTCTGTGCCTCTTTAGAAACAGAAAAACTTAGCAAAAACTGCCTTAATTAATACTGTCTCAACAAAGAGAACACCAACAGAGACTGAAATGATAAAAAGAAAGCAAACACATCTTTGTAGATGAAAAGTGCAATAACACAAATGGAAAATGCACCACAGGGGTTCAGTAGTAAATATCACATTTGACAGGCACACACACACACACACAAAAAAATCAGTGAACCTGAAGATAGGGTAATTGAATTTATCCAGTCTGAGGAGCAGAAAGAAAAAAAGAAAATGTACAGAGCCCAAGCAAGAGACTGTGAGATACTATTCCAGTGTAGCTGTATATGCTTAATAGAATATACCAACATGATTAATGTAATTCCAAGATAGACAAGATAGGAGCAAACAAACAAAAAAAGATAGGAGCAGAAAGAGTACTTGATAAAATGGACAAAAACTTCCAAAATCTGATGGAAGACTTCAATCTGTACATTTTCAAGCTACCCAAGAATCTCCAATCAGGATAAACTTAAGATCTCCACCTTAAGATGCAGTATAGCCAAACTGATGAAAGCAAAATAAATCCTCAGGTAAGATTGACAGCCAATTTCTCATCAGAAACCAGGACTTCCAGGAGACAGAAGGAGGGAAGGAGGAAGGAGGGGAGGGAGAGATGGTGAGAAAGAAAGAAGGAAAGAAGCCCTGTAAGCCAAAAATTCTATATGCAGCAAAATCATACT